AAGAAGAAATGCTGAATGTCTGCAGATTTTAAGGAATTTTTTTTTAATTGAGACATAAGTAACGAATACCACTGATGTGTGCTTTATTTAAAATCGACTTGCTCATGTTTAATTTGGTTATTGCAGATTCAGTGTTACTACAAAAATAAGTTTGTTTCCAAATGAAAAGGTTCAACTGTTCATAGGAAAATGTGTACATTGCCGTCTTTTTTTTTTTTAAATATTGAGTTTTGCCCGTAACTTCGTCCCAGTTTTTCATTTTGGCCCAGTGTGAATTTGATTTCGACACCCCTGGTCTAAAATGTCTACATTTTTTAATAATTGTCTTCTGCAACTTGGTCATTTGAAGTAAAGAATAAAATAAATAATCCCCACAATGCACCACAGCTACAGTAGCTCATGTAGGGTATAACCAATAACCAGTGCTGGTCTTCTGAGGTTGGTGCATTTTCTATAAACAAAAATCTGCCAGATTACATGAATAGAAATGCATAGAACAGCCATTACACTGGGTATGTTTAACACTGAGCCCTGGAGTCCCTCTGACACAGAAACCTACTTCTCAGGTTGTACTGATGAATATTTTAGAAGCAAACTCTACCAACAGAGTACTAAGTATGTAAGTATTTAAGTCACAGCGTGGAATCTAAATTGCCTTCAGGCTGTAATATATATATATATATATATATATATATATATATATATATATATATATATATATATATATATATATATATATATATATATATTAGAGGTGCTGAAAAAAATCAATTCAAGTCTGAATCAGGATTCTTATTTATAAAGAGTCAGAATCGATTTCAAGAACTCAAATGTTTGGCATGTTACAGGTTTGAGATGCACTTTTGTCTGTCTTTTGATCTCTGTTAGGAGAGTTAGTACTCTGTTTACTTTTGTCGTCCCACAAATTGGAGTGATTTATTTTTGAATCCGCTGACAAGTGGACACTTGAATGTAATTAGTTTCATACTCAGAAATTTGAGATGTTCTCATATTTATGTTCTAAGTTGATAAGTGAGTACTCAGGATTATTCATGCATTCATTTTAAGTTGTTGATAAATGAGAGAACACATTTTCCTTTGTAAGAAATCTGAGGCACTTTTTTTAAACAGGTTGAGGACTCAAATGTTAAACTTGTTTCCACACATACTTAAAGTATTTGACTGTATTACTTTCAAAGCTACTGTTAGGTAACTAAAGATTTGTTATATTTTACAAGGTAAGCAAAAATAAATGTTGCATTTTGTTCAAAAGATAGCTTTTTTGTACAGTTTTAGAATCATTTTATTTTACCTTGTAAATTTGCATTTTTGGAGCATGACCAGTTTAAAGTTCAGACAGAGTCAAGTTTATAAAAGGTAAGAAATTTATTTTCTAAACAATTAAAAACTTGACAAGTTAACTAAGGCTACTGTGATGGATGAATCTAAGTGGATGGGATGTGATGTATGTGTTTTATCAGAACCTTGTATCTAGAAGAACTGAGTTCTGGGTGTGGAAAGAATTTGGTCTGTATTAAACCAGGAAGTTGGTTCTTATCAAAACGGCATCAGACGCAATCATGCTGTGTCTACCTCACCCTTTCTTTGGAGACCCTCTTCGCAGATCCGGAGGTCAGGGGGGTCGGATGACCTCTGGGCACCGAGATTCATTACACTAACCGCAGCACCGACGCTCCAGTCCAGAGATGTCACCAGGCACAACAGGTTGGAACTAGGTTGCGTCTAGAACAGCTGTTTTGGAATAGCTGAAGGAACAAGTTGCTGTGTCTCTGAAGGCAGCTTTTAGCTTGTCGAAAGCTTGTCAAGAGATGCAGTGTGAGCAGAGTTTCCCTCCGATGGCCAGAGTTAGCTCAGCTAACAGAATGCTGGAATGATGAGTCACTCCGTAAGTGATTCTGTTTTAATATTCTCATATTATGATTTACTTGGCCAATCGGGACGTGCCATGTTAAGAGGTGTTAACAAACAAACCTCAGAACATCACGCCTTCTTTCAGATACAGGATGCTCTGATTTGTGGGTAAGAAAATATCTATGTGCAGAAATTACTTTCACTTCATCTTATGATAATTGTGTGTGAGTGTAGATAATGATTCACTTGTTAAATCAAACATTACTGATCATAATATCAAAATGTTTCACTGTAATAACATTCATTTCAACTTCAATGAACTAGAAACAGATTAATCAAAACATTTCATTAGTATTCATATAACATTTGTTCATTCAACCATATTATTATTTAATGATTATTTAACTTATGAGCTGAAAACGTTCACTTTATTCAGAGGCATGAGGAATCCTGTAGAAGCGATAAGGGAAGCTTAGGCCTTGAAACGGGAACAGTTTGTTGACAATGTGTTATCATGTGTTCAGAGCTGCAGAATCTTCTGGGCTTGGTGGAAGACAGAATGTAAATTCCATTTTAGAGAATGGAATCTGTGTCTGCAGATGACCGGTGGCATTTAGGTCAATCTATAGGTGAAAACTGATCATTCCTGGACGTTAGATATAAAATAATCATAAGAAAAACAAAGTTTAGGTGCTTTGGTCAGCTGGGGAATGACAAACATATTATGCTGCAGAGACTAGGGGTTAGACTAAAAAAACATCCCTGTGAAGATGATTCAACAAAGATCAAAGGAATTCCGTAGAATAGAATTTATTGATAGAACCTCCCTTTATGCAAAAAGGGATTAAAATATTATGGGTTTAGGACCTAATTACATCTAAAATATATATTTGACATAAAATAAACTCAAAAATAGCAGTGTTCAATCTGGAGCTTTGTTACTTTTTAGATATGTAAAACTGGAAGTTATTTTTACAAAAAGCTATTTCACTGTTGCATGCATGAATACAAATTTAGTTAAATCTACTTTGCATTGAAAGCAAAAGTAAAATGTTTATTTTTTATTCTCGGCTGAGTTGTAATAAAATTACTTTTGCATTTAGCTATTTCACCGCACTCTAAAACCAAAAGTTCTTTCAAATTCTCATTTTCATTTGACCAAATAAAGTTATATTTAATATTATGTTGCTTTAATATTAGGAAGTTTTATTTATGTAATACTGGAGTAAAGTGCATTTAGGAGTGTTGCATGTAAAGGCTTCAGCAGCATGAACGCACAAAGATGCAACCTTTTTTCATGCACATCTTGTGTGTTAATGCAATATTTAGCTGCACTCTGTATTAGTGCCATGTGTGTTTTACTCACTATCTTCTCAGTCCATGATCTCACAAATGTGCCACAATCCCTATCAAAGCAGAGGATTCACAAAAGCTTGGACAAACAAGACAGCTACTGTACACCGAAGCTCTATTATGTAACCGTATACTTCACTCACCAAGCAGTGAGATGAATTCAAATTAAGCCAATGAGGCTCACCTTCTCATGTTTCCTCAGCTGAATAGGTTGCTCTTTTCCATGAGATTCATTGGCTGGACCTTGTGCCAACACCTGCGAGTAGATATGCTAAATCACTTTCTGGACGGAGCTCAGAAAGAGGCTAAGAGCTTAAAAAGTGTTGGGATTAGACGCTTTGCAGTAACTGCTGCCATCTAAATAGGAAAACACTTCAGTGCTTCACATAGCTCCAGTGTTTTTATTTTATATGTGGAGGCAAAAGAGCAGAAAGTGTAGCAGCCGTTTATAGATAAGATTAAGAAATATCAATTATCTTGTCTTTTTAAAAGATTTTTAACATATCGTTGATTCTAGAATACCCAAGTGTTACATGCTGGTTAAATGAGTTATATTTGTGTTTTACAAATAGTCAAAATAACTACAAAATGCTAAACAGGGTGATTTTCCTTCCCTTTCTTCATTCAGTGTTGCCAGATTTGTGGGATAATTTGGCCCTCTGTATGATGTACGATCAATCATTCCATAAATCCCATAATGTACGATAGTTTTATTCCTTCCTGCAGCTGCAGATTGCACCCAGAGACATACCCTAACAAACAACCAACGCTTACAGCACATGCTGCTGCCCATGACAAAGGAGGAAGTTGTGACATAAATAATGCTGACTTTAAATACAAGCATCTGTTCAACAGCAGCAAGCAGGAAGACAAAACATCAGAAAAAACAACTAGTTAGCTGGGTTAAAAAAAGAAGTAATGCCGTAAGATGAAACGCACAGAGTGAAGCTCTGAAGCTAATTCCAAAACTGTTTCATTCTCATGCATCGAATCAAAACAACCATTCCAACACAATAGGTCCTAATGACATAAACGACTCACTGTTTGTTATTATTAGTCATACACACACACACACACACACACACACACACACACACACATATATATATATATATATATATATATATATATATATACATACATACACATATATACATACACATATGTGTGCGTATGACAGAACCTATTTGGAAACTATCTTGAATATTTGTGTCTGTTTTTAAATCAATGTCAATTGGAAACGAAAGAAAAAGAAGTCCAGGCTTGCAGGATGAGCTCCAGAAAGCTACAGGTTATTTGGTTAAAAAAATAGTATTGGAGGCAACAAAATGACTAAATGATGATATATGTTTGCAAACTGACTTTCCATTAAAACACCTGAGCAAAAGCTGTGTCACAGCAGGAGGCAGCAACACACCAGAGCACTTCAGAGACTTTAAATGATACAAGATGATCCAAAATGTGACAATTTGTAGATTAACGTGAAATGATTCCAGTATCAGATAACCTGGCTGATGATCTCATACGGCTTTCTGACACTGGTTGTACTCAGACCAATGGAGTGTCACGAGCCACAGGAATACAGAGTAAAAAAACCAGTGAAGCATCACATGACAGGAGCAGCTAAGCTGCAGCACCATCATCCTGAAACTCGTCTCCCTAAATCTAGATCCGTTCAGCCCAGCTCACCTCATCATTTCCACAGCATCTTTGCATTAACGCACAGAAATGCACATGACCTACATGCGTCCCGTCCTGCACGAATCTCTACTCACTGAATCACTTGCGTTTTTACGCAGCCGATCCTCTGACATGATCGGATCCACCACCAGCTTCTCGAAGCATGCCGAACCGAGAGAGGAGCTCTTCTGTTGTTGCACCATCAGCTGTGAGACGAGGAGTTTGGGGCTTCCGTGGGCCGTCAGCTCCGGTTTGCTGCCCGTGGCTCCAGAAGCTGTGCCAAGACTCGTCTGCACGTCCGAACTCGTTCCTGCGGCCGCGTCACCTCCTGCGGACATGTCTCCATCAAAAGACACCGGCGCGGAGCAGGATAAGTTCGGCTGTGACGACGAAAACACCCGATCCAACTGTTTCTTTTTCCTCTTGAACATCCACAGCCCAGATTCCTTTTTAGTCCCCTCTGCGCCTCCGGCGGCTCCTCGACGCTCCGATCCCAGTTTAGGACTCAGCCAGGGCTTGGTTTTCTCCTGGAAATTCTTCCACATCCTCCGTTGGTAGGACAGGGACTCGTGTCTCTTGGCGGAGCCCTCCGCTTTTGGTGATTTTTTCTCCATGGTGCCTGTGCAGCAGCCTGCCAGCCTGAGCAAAGTCCGTAATGTTGGAGAGATGTCACAGTTCGGCTGCTGCAGCTTGTGTGCTCTTCCACTGGTGATAATTTTTGAGCAGTACGATGAATACACGCGGCGTGGTGATATGAGAGCTGCAAATTGTAGAAAAGCAGGTGCGGATGATTTGAATTTGCGCTGAAGTTTATTCTCAGCGCAAATTTTGGAGAACATATAGTCACTTCTGGCAGAGTTCTTTAAATCTACTAAATTCTGCGCATGCCTGCGAGTCTCTGCTCTTTCCTCTGTGTGGTTGTACAAACTTGCGCATTAATTGTTGAATTCAAATGAAGGACGAAAGGCGCACCGCGCCTCCTTCTGGCCAAACGCGCAACTTAGTTGACCTGGTGATTTCGTAACACCAACCTCACTACCTTGTGGGAGATGTTTGTTAATTCAGTGGTGAACCTCATCCCCTCCCTATCTGGTGTTTTCCCTGTAGCCTGACACTGTATGGTGATTTAAATCTGCATATCCGAATCACACACTCAGTGAGTGTGATGGTATATTTTGGAAAATTTTTGCAACTATGGGATTGCTCCTGCAGATTCTAAGTAGATGTTTTCTCTTCAACAGTTAGCAAGACTTTAGCCCACATGCAGCATTAGCTGCTGCCTCTCTTGTTGCTTCTACAGTGTGTGCACTGTCCTAACATCATATTAGACTTTAAACATATTTTGCAAAATTCACCTTTTGCATCCATTTATGCTGCCGTGTCTCTACTGCCTCTATAAACATTCCAAACATTCAGTTATCTGTCAGAGTTTGGCTTGAAGAATTATGTCCTTAAAACAATCCGTTTCAAAAAGTCCCGATTTGTGATGTCACAAACAGGGGGAGTAGAATAGAACCACTTCTCACATGCAAGGAAAAGATGCTGCTGGGGGAGCAGCCAGATGTGGTAGCTTCTCAGCCTCTAGCAGCTTTGGGGCGTGGCCAGCTCCAGTTTGTTTTTTAGCCCTGAAACGGCTCATTCGGGTATGAAACTATCAATAACAAAACTGCTCAAATCACATTTCGTGAAAGGGACTTTGTGCAAAGAACTTCATCAATATATTTTGTATCAACTAACTATAACTTAAGAAAAAAGTCATAAATTATCTCTTTAAATTTCATAGCTGAAATACAGAAAAACTGTGAGAACAGACACACGTTTCAATATTTACTGATATGATGCCACCGTGGTGTAACCTGTGAGTCACAGCGTCTTCTGTGAGCAAACCTGTTATAATGTGGTGATCAGCCTTCAGCAGTGTAGGAGGATGAAGTAGCAGTATTTATCCTAAATTTATTTCACTGGTATTTGGTTTGAACAAAAAACATGCACAACCAATAAGTTCTTTTACAGATTCAGGTATTTTTTCAGTCTCTAAATACTTTAATTACAAAAACAGACAGCAATGTGCTTTAAACCTCATTTTCTTGTTAAGTAAATGGAGCTGTGAGAATGCAAGCCAAGCAAGCGAGCCATCAGTCGCCATAAACCTTCCCGTTGGTCCTGTGTGTAAAACGGATGAGTCGGCAGGTTAAATGCCTCCCTTTTGTAATGATCCTGGTTCTTTTGATAAGAAACCAATTCACAGCTGCTTTTATCAGCACACAGCTTCAGGGACATCTGTGATACTTCAGGAGAGTTGACACACATGAGTTGATGCTGAAAGTCCAGTCCTGTCTGAAAAAGAGGATTTATCCATCCTTGCATCCAGGGCAGCTGAAGGCTTATGCAAAAATTGCAGGGCAAGGAAACGTTGCTTTACATTCTTTATCAATGTTTCTGCATCTTTTACTTTGTAAAGACTAAGATTTCTAAAATATAGGATTTAATAAATGCCTATGTAAATTCAGCTTCTTTTCATTGCCATTATATCAGTCAGAATGAAGATAATCTTGTTCAGCATTTGACCAAACTCCGTATATTGTGAACATCTTTAGATACATTCCTTTGTCCAAAACTAATAGATTTGGTTTTTTTCTTTCAATAGAGTTTAATCCCCCATGTCAGTCTTAAGGGAAAACACTGCACTCCTCCACTTGGCTCTGTCTTGAATGTTTATAGCCGCTGTGATCAAGGCAACTCGGTTGAATGGGTGCCACTGGTGTAGGAGGCCAGAATCACCAGGATCTTCCAAGGGGGTAAACTCTGCCTGCCAAATTGCAGTTCTCCGCTCATCCACTAGGGGCTGGATTCAGATAGGAGCAAGTTCCCATTGCCTCCCATGTTAATGTTTACAGCCTGGCACAAAAAAAAAACATTTTAGGTTTAATAGGTCAGGTTTACCGTCATGACAGTTCTGAGAGGGGTACATTTAGTGACTCATCCGTGAATGAGCTTGGAAGTATGTCCTTATGATTGACAGGTAGCAGATGAGATTTTAGCACTAGAGGCTTGTCCTCCTGCTTGCTCCAGGGAAGGTGCCAGTCTCTGCCTCACATTGAACGTGTTAAAGATTGAAGGCAGAGAGACACTCAACTGCAATTTTCTGACTGAAACCCAGCCTTCGTTAGCTTCTGTTAGCTCAGTTAGTTCGTAGCTACATCGTCTCAGAGTTGGATGGTTGTCAATCATCTGCCCTCACCACAGCCCCACCCTCAGCTCTTTTTTTGTATTTCCTAGAAGTGACGACATATGGGGTTATGATCAAGATGGCGGAGTTGGGAACCGCCCACTGGGCAGCTCTTCAGCAAACTATGGGTAAGGGCACAGAGAGTTAGTCCATTTTTTTGCAGTCATTGGGCTCTTCTAAAACATATTTGTCACACCCAGCTGCTCTAAGAAGAAGAGCATCTCCATGATGCCACTTTGGGAAGCGAAACCAATGTGTCGCTGATGGGACTCCAACTCATGTGAAAGATAATTTCTTCTTCCCTCTGGCATCACTAAAAGGCGGCGGTGTAACTCCTCAGTATTATTTATATAATCCAAAGACAAAAACATGACACAAATGTTAAAAAAATCTTCTATTAAAGGTTTTTGTAACCTAAAATTATTGAGAATCTATTCATAGATCTCTAATTTTAAGTGCTGAACATTTAATCGACTGAATTGCTTTTGGCTGCAACTGTTCACTGGAGCAGGTTGGTAAATATCTTAGTTTGGCTCAGTTGAAGTCCATAAACCATGCACCATCACAGCTGACAAACAGGCACACCCACACTGAATGAGACTGTGGAACAAGGCAAAGAAAAGCACTGTTAGTGATCTGATTTTAATCATGCTAAAAACGATTTATGGGTCAAATATGGGATCAGGTTTACTTGTTTTGTTGATTTTCACATGAACCTCAAACCCTCTGTCAGTGAGGCCCAGGGCAGCTGTGGCTACAATGTAGCTCGTCACCACCAGGGTGTGAATGGATGAATGATACACTGTAGTGCAAAGCACTTTTGAGTCCTCTGACTCTGAAAGTCACTAAGTGTGGGTCATTTATCATTTACCCAGAGAGCTTGTAGTTTACAGTCTAGGTGATTGGAATAGATTTATTTATTTGAGTCAGTTTGGTTTCTAAAAGGTATAAACTTGACTACAATGGGTTTATGGGGTGAAAATAAGGTTAAGGGTTTTTAACACAGCTGTGAGTCATGCTGATTAAAATTAAGCTTCAATCCAAAATGGTAGCAGACAGTGAGACACAACCAAAGAGCTAGAAAGCAGAGACCTCCGAATATGTTCACCATCACTTTCACATCATCATACTTCCAATTGACTAATGTTGAAGTAATCTGCAAAAGACTTTTTCCATCTAGAATTAATGAACTAAATTTGTCATTATGTGCAAAATATTGTTCTTGTCCTTGTAACTTAAAAAAACTAAACTGATCCATGCCTTGGTTTCCTGTTTACTTTCAGATGGTGCTTCCTGGTTACTTAAGGGGGCCGTAGTTAGAGCAGTGAAGACAAGATGCTGACTGTGCAGCTGCAGTCCGTTATTAGCATCAATGAGGGGATGACAGCTAACCAGCAAGAGTGTTTTGCCCAAGCCAGGGAGCATTCCTGCAAGCTGCTGGGGAGTCACTGCATGTCCGTCACCCACATATGGATATGCACACACACACACACACACACACACACACACACACACACACACACACACACACACACACACACACACACACACACACATAGGAAAAAACTAAAACATTTTGGGTTGTCAACATCACATTTCTTCTTTCATGCATGCTTACATTTTAAACATTTTCTGTGCAAAATAACAACTACTTCAATTTAAGCTAGTAAAGTGTCTCCAACAGCAGCTGAATCTCATTCTCCGTAAGCTGAGATGTGTGTATTATAGTAATGTATTTTTTCTTTTCATTTTCTATATTTCGTAGCTATAGTGATAAACATTTTTAAATATCTTCAGATTAGAAAAGCCAGCCTTGGGTGAAGATTCTTGTTTTTGTTTAAGTTGTTTGTTAGCTGTCTAGCTACATGTAGCTACATGCTGCTAGCGTACATTCACTACACAGGGCAAATTTCTACTTCACAAGTTGCGCCAAATACCCCAACAACTTTATCTTAGATCTGTCATATTTTAACATTTTGAAAAAGAGGAGAAGTAGCCGAAGAGTTTGATGTATAACAGGTGTAGGGAATGCAAAGTCATGTCTTTAAAAGCCTGAAAACCTGTATCAATATTTTCCAGTATTTCAGTTTAATGCCAATCTCAACAAAGACAAAGAACGGTTCGAAGGATCTTTCATGGCGGTTAAAACGAAGAGTCGGAGTACCCGGCCCGGAGGGTTACCGGGGTCCCACCCTGGAGCCAGGCCTGGGGTTGGGGGCCGTGAGCGAGCGCCTGGTGGCCGGGCTTTCGCCCATGGGGCCCGGCCGGGCCCAGCCCGAACCGGATACATGGGCTCATCCAACTGTGGACCCACCACCCGCAGGAGGAACATGAAGGGTCCGGTGCAATGTGAATCGGGTGGCAGACCAAGGCGGGAGCCTTGGCGGTCCAATCCCCGGACAAGAAAACTAGTTTTTGGGACATGGAACGTCACCTCGCTGGCGGGGAAGGAGCCGGAGCTTGTTGCAGAGGTTGAGCGGTACCGGCTAGATATAGTCGGACTCACCTCGACACATTGCATTGGCTCTGGAACCCGAGACCTGGAGAGGGGTTGGACACTCTACTTTGCTGGAGTTGCTCCGGGTGAGAGGCGGAGGGCTGGGGTTGGCTTTTTGTTAGCCCCGAGACTCTCTGCCTGTGTGTTGGGGTTTACCCCGGGGGACAAGAGGGTAGCTTCCTTGCGCCTTCGGGTCGGGGAACGGGTCCTGACTGTTGTTTGTGCTTATGGGCCAAATATCAGTTCAGAGTACCCACCCTTTTTGGAGTCCCTGGGACGAGTGCTAGATAGTGCTCCATCAGGGGACTCCATTGTCCTGCTGGGGGACTTCAATGCTCACGTGGGCAATGACAGCTTGAACTGGAGGGGTGTGATTGGGAGGAACGGCCCACCTAATCTGAACTCGAGCGGTGTTTTGTTATTGGACTTCTGTGCAAGCCGCAGTTTGGCCATAACGAACACCATGTTCGAACATAAGGATGCCCACCGGTACACTTGGTACCAGGGCAGCCTAGGTCACAGGTCGATGATAGATTTTGTAGTCGTATCATCTGACCTGCGGCCGTATGTTTTGGACACCCGAGTGAAGAGAGGGGCGGAGCTGTCAACTGATCACCACCTGGTGGTGAGTTGGATCAGATGGCAAGGGAACATGCCGCGTAGACCTGGCAGACCCAAACGCATAGTGAGGGTCTGCTGGGAACGCCTGGCAGAAGAACCTGTCAAGACGGTCTTCAACTCCCACCTCCGGCAGAGCTTTGACCACGTCTCGAGAGCAGTGGGGGACATTGAGTCCGAGTGGGCCTTGTTCCACTCTGCGATTGTCGAGGCGGCTGTTGCTAGCTGTGGTCGTAAGGTGGCCGGTGCCAGTCGTGGTGGCAACCCCCGTACCCGCTGGTGGACACCAGAGGTTCGGGGAGCCGTCAGGCTGAAGAAGGAGGCCTACAGGGCGTGGCTGCTCTGTGGGTCTCCGGAGGCAGCAGACAGGTACCGGATAGCCAAGCGGGGTGCAGCAGTGGCAGTTGCCGAGGCAAAATCTCGGGCGTGGGAGGAATTTGGTGAGGCCATGGAGAAAGACTATCGATCGGCTCCAAAGAGGTTCTGGCAAACTGTCCGGCGCCTCAGGAGAGGAAGGCAGCAACTCGCTCACACTGTTTACAGTGGGGATGGGGAGCTGCTGACGTCAACTGAGGCTATAGTTGGACGGTGGAAGGAATACTTTGAGGAGCTCCTCAATCCCACCAATGCGCATTCCGAGGAGGAACCAGAGCTGGGAGGCCTGGGGATGGACTGTCCGATCTCAGGGGCAGAAGTTGCTGAGGTAGTCAAACAACTACACAGCGGCGGAGCCCCGGGGGCGGATGAGGTTCGTCCTGGGTATCTCAAGGCTATGGATGTTGTAGGGCTGTCATGGTTGACACGTCTCTACAACATTGCGTGGTCATCGGGGGCAGTTCCTAGGGAGTGGCAGACCGGGGTGGTGGTCCCCATCTTTAAGAAGGGTGACCTGAGGGTGTGTTCCAACTATAGGGGGATCACACTCCTCAGCCTCCCTGGAAAGGTCTACGCCAAGGTACTGGAGAGGAGGGTCCGATCGATAGTTGAATCTCAGATAGAGGAGGAGCAATGTGGTTTTCGTCCTGGCCGTGGAACTGTGGACCAGCTCTATACCCTTGCAAGGGTGATGGAGGGGGCATGGGAGTTTGCCCAACCAATCCACATGTGCTTTGTGGATTTGGAGAAGGCTTATGACCGTGTCCCCAGGGGCACCCTGTGGGGGACGCTCCAGGAGTATGGGGTGGGTGGCTTTCTGTTAAGGGCCATTCAGTCCCTTTACCAGAGGAGCGTGAGTTTGGTCCGCATAGCCGGTAGTAAGTCGGACCTGTTCCCAGTGAGGGTTGGACTCCGCCAGGGCTGCCCTTTGTCACCGGTTCTGTTCATCACTTTTATGGACAGAATTTCTAGACGCAGCCGTGGTGTGGAGTGTGTCGAGTTTGGTGGCAGGAGAATCTCGTCTCTGCTTTTTGCGGATGATGTGGTCCTCCTAGCTTCATCCAGCTCTGACCTTCAGCTCTTGCTGGGTAGGTTTGCGGCCGAATGTGAAGCGGCTGGGATGAGAATCAGCACCTCCAAATCTGAGACCATGGTTCTCGACCGGAAAAGGGTGGCTTGCCACCTCCGGGTCGGGGGAGAGGTCCTACCTCAAGTGGAGGAGTTTAAGTATCTCGGGGTCTTGTTCACGAGTGAGGGTAGGAGGGATCGGGAGATCGACAGGCGGATTGGTTCGGCGTCTGCAGTCATGCGGACGCTGAGCCGATCTGTCGTGGGGAAGAGGGAGCTGAGCCAGAAAGCCAGGCTCTCGATTTACCGGTCGATCTACGTCCCAATCCTCACCTATGGTCATGAGCTTTGGGTAATGACCGAAAGAACGAGATCGCGGATACAAGCGGCCGAAATGAGTTTCCTCCGTAGGGTGGCCGGGCTCAGCCTTAGAGATAGGGTGAGGAGCTCGGACATTCGGGAGGGACTCGGAGTAGAACCGCTGCTCCTCCGGATCGAAAGGAGCCAGTTGAGGTGGTTTGGGCATCTGGTCAGGATGCCTCCTGGACGCCTCCCCGGGGAGGTGTTTCGGGCATGTCCTGCCGGCAGAAGGCCCCCGGGTCGACCCAGGACACGTTGGAGAGGTTACATCTCCAATCTGGTCCGGGAACGCCTTGGGGTCCTGCCGGAGGAGCTGGTGGACAAGGCCGGGGAGAGGACGGCCTGGAGCTCCCTAATTGGGATGCTGCCCCCGCGACCCGGACCCGGATAAGCGGAGGAAGAGGAAGACGACGAAGAAGCCAATCTCAACAATATTAATGGTAAAATGATAATATCGAACATTCCTAATTATTTAGTATAGAATTGCTGCCTCTTACCTCTATAGGTTTATTTGTTTTCTTCTGTTCTTTTCATCACATTTGATGTGCATAACACCGGCACACAGTCATGACCACAACCTCCCAGCTGATTTGATCACATTTGATGGAATGGTGCAATGTCTGAATAAAGCAGCCTTGACTTCTCATCAGCTGCAGCTCATCTTGTTCCATCTGAATAAAGCAAATATACAGACATGGTGTTCACAGATTAAGAGCTGCTGTTCAGTAATGCGGCAAATAGTGTGTGTATGTGTGAGTGTGTGTGCGTGTGTGTGTGTGTGTGTGTGTGTGTGTGTGTGTGTGTGTGTGTGTGTGTGTGTGTGTGTGTGTGTGTGTGTGTGTGTGTGTGTGTGTGTGTGTGTGTGTGTGTGTGTGTGTGTGTGTGTGTGTGTGTGTGTGTTTGTAATTAGCTGTAAGAGTATTATCTCAAAGTGCAGGTAAATGCCATTAATGAATCACTTCTGGAGGCATTTGGAGTTCTGTTCCTGAGATCCACGCCGATATCTGCCCAAGAGGGGCAACAAAAATGAAATACTCTGCTTTGTTTGCACTTTAGCAAATTGACCATTAACATGATTAGAGGCAATCATCTGAAATATCACATGAATGCTAGAAGATGATTAATTCTGCACATGATGAAGTAATATGCCTAAACAAAGTGAGTCGAGCTAAATCAAATGATTGCTGCATTGCAGAGTCTGTGTGTTCTCTCATTTTAATGCCAGAAGATAAACTTTTGGCCATTTAAAAGCTTTTTTTCCACGGTTTGAGCATCAAATGGGGGTTAATTTTATTGCAATGAAACGAGGAAATAAAGTAAATTATCTCTCAGTTAACACCTAAAGCGGTGCCAAGTTCTAGTAAAAGAATTTAATGTGAACTGGCTGCAAAAATGTTCAAGTTATATAAGAGATCGGGCTTTTCTTCCATTAGGCACCGGAAAAACCTCTAGTTGAAGCACTAGTAGCTTTAGAAAGTCTAAATACAATATAAAACATGAAGCATCAGCAAGAAATAAAAGCAAGAGCTGGGACTTTGCATGAATCTTGGGTGTAAAGGTCATCAAAGAATGATGTACAAACTGCACAGCTTCTCTTAAAGACAAGAAAACATCTGAATGGGTTACTTGGTTTAGAATAGGAGGGGAAATTAATCCAGAGCTTCAGGTATGTGGGAAATATATGAATCAGTGTAAAGTTCTAATCTCTTACTGGTATTTTTCCAAAGCTCTGAGTGGAAGAGATGGATCCAGGTAACCCAGGAAGAAGAGAGGAAGAGTGGTAGGGGGTGTGGTTAAGTGCTCTTATGGAAAAGGAGGATTTTCAGAGGGAAAATTCTGAGTCATTCCAAGGGTGTAGTAAGGGTCACTTAATCAGTTTGGTACCAGCAAGTGGCTTTATGGAGGATGGACTGCAGGTGTGACTGGTTGACACCCAGAGCATCAGTGCACCATTCAGTAGACCACTGAGAAAACCTGAACTCCCATTTTAGAATCATTCTGATCTCCCCTGGCTTAGACTGATCAATGTATATGAATGTTGCAGTTTGTGATCAGAAACATCATCACATTTGCAGCTTCTCATACTGAAATTCCTGTTTTTCTGCTCGCCTGCCTTCCCTATACGTTTAAGAAGAACATGAATAAAGGGGAGTTTACCTCTTACTAATGCTTCGTTTGTGGTCCAAAAGAGAACAGAGGAGTAATTCCTCTCTTGCATTTAATGAGATTTTGCATGTTAGTCACAAATAATCAAGTGAACATTGAGTGAGTTTTGATGAACTGTATTGGTCAGTGCAGCTTCTGAAGCACCAAAGTGGTCTGCAGGGAAATTACACAGATTTACAACTGAGCAAATCAGAAATTAGCTACTGCATAATGTTTTATACAAAAAATATTACGTCTCACACACACACACACACACACACACACACACACACACACACACACACACACACACACACACACACACAAATAGACATGCATATCTGATAAACAGAAAGCATGCAGACTTTGGAGAAATCTTAAAAGCACTGAAAGGAAGGAAACTAATCCACTGATAACAAATTAAACACTCCATGTTTATCACACATAAGTTTGTCAAAACTTTGCACATGTTGAAATAAAAATAAAAAAAATGATCAAATTTTATCAGAATTATTTCATAAAATGTGATTGACAGTGGATGATTTTAATATTATTTGTCCTATTTTAAAAGTGTATCTGTTGATGTTTCTTTTATTTGTTTAATAGATTTGTGTTTGTATTATAATTTGGCGTCACATGAAAACCTGATTTCTGTCTTTTTTTATTCTTTTTAGTTGATCCTGTACAGCAGGGTGAGTGGGGTTGGGGATTTTACATTATGTTCTGTGTGGTTTGTTTTGAAAAGCTGAAAAAAATTGCTATAAAAAGACCCTGTTAAAAATGTGATGGGCAGATTTGTTGTATACGTTAATAATACCTTTAATTTGAATTAGTTTCACAGACAAATTTGTTCTGAGAGTATCTGCATATGCTGCAGTGATATGGTTATGCAGCCTTGTTAGCCGCCTCCAAGATAGTGTGTGAACTTGAGGTGAGTCATGCCTTTGCCATCATCCCTCCCTCCATCTCTATAAATATGTCTGATACTTAGCAGCAACCTATTCAAAGGGTCTTTGCAGAGTTTAACATTGTATTAAAATATTTTCTTTATATATTTATAAATATGCTGAGTAACATTTACTAGTCTTCAGAAATATTTTCTCCGTATTTACTGAGCCTTAAAATGATGGTGACAGCATCAGTTTTTATTTTATTTTTTTCAACTTTTATTTCATTTAAAAACATAGTCACTTTATAAAATAATAAAAAGAATGAATATAACTTACAATACTTAAATGAAAAGGAGCAGATAGAAGAAAATCTTATATGTAATCTGCCCCATTCACACCCTTGGCAAAAAATAAAGATATGCTCACTAAAAAAGATTACTAAAACAGCTGAGAAGCAGCTTGCCACCAACTAACAATCCTTGAATGGAGTTTTAACACATTTGTTAGAAATTATTGCTGATAAATACAGAAAAAATAAAATTAAAAAGGAAAATACACTCAAGATTATTCCATATAATTTCTTAACATATAGTTTTTTTACATTCTGTTTAAACATTATAATTGATTTGACCTCTTTCATTACGTATTCCAGACTGTTCCATATCCTGACTCCATATACAGAAACACAGCGCTCCAACTTTTTAGTCCTAAATCTAGGTTTTATAAATATCTTGTACCCTTTTAAATTGTAGCAACTTTGTCTTTTACCAAATTTCATTTGAATATTTATTGGTAAGGATTTTTTGTGAGCTTCATACATTAACTTTAATATGTTACGATCCACTAAATCTGGAAACTTGAATACTCTTAACTCAGCAAATAATGGACCTGTCGGTGCTCTATAACTTCTCTGAGTAATGATTCTTATGGCTCATTTTTGTAGTAACAAAAGTGATTGTGGATGAGTTTTATATATTGTTCCCCAGAGTTCAATACAATAAGTCATATATGGTGCAATCCAGGAATTATATACTTGACATAATGCTGTTTTATTTTATGCAGTAAACCAATTGCTCTTGCTATTTTTGTTTTTACACCATTAACATGTGGCTTCCATGTAATATCTTCATCGATTATGACCCCTAGAAACACATTTTCCTTCACTCTTTCAATTTTAAAATTTTCTATAAGTTATGACATGCCACTATTTGCTCCTCTTGTTCCAAATACCATAAAACGAGCTTTCTTGAGATTCAGGGATAGTTTATTGACATTAAACCACTGTTTCAGTTTTACTAGCTCTGACTGAATTGCTTCTCTCAAATGTTCTAGATTGTCCCCTGCAAAAAAGAACGTTGTGTCATCAGCAAATAAAATTCAGTTCAACAATTCAGATACACTTGTGACATCATTAATATATGTTAAACAGTTTAGGGCCTAAAACGGATCCTTGAGGAACCCCACATGAAATATCACATGTGTCTGATTTAACATTGTGTATCTGTACATATTGTTGCCTGTTTCTTAAATAACTTATGATCCAGTCAAGTGCCATTCCCCGGATTCCATACTTGCTAAGTTTTCCATACAGAATGGTGTGATCTATGGTGTCAAACGCTTTCTTAAGATCAACAAAAATACTTACTGCATAATTCTTCCTATCAGTTTCTGTGGAGATAAATTCCATTAATTCCATTAATGCCAATTATGTTGAATGATTGGCCCTAAATCCACACTGACTACTACTCAAAATATTCTGTCTGTCCAGAAATAGACTTAGTAGTATAGTTGTTGAGGCGGTTACTCTTGTTTTTATATCCTTGTTTAAATGAGGCGTGACTGACACGCCCCCGTTTTAAAGGTGCATGAAGTAAGAATGACATCTTGTGGTCAAATTTGGGTACTGCAGCTAGAGATATTTTTAGAGTTCTCTAAAGCACTGTTAGCATTGTGAGCTCAACGTCAGCCTCTAGCCTTCTTGACCTGATTTTAAAGTAAAACAGAAAGAATGGCGTGAGTTGTTACCAGGCCTTTTTAACGGGCGCTTAAGTGTCCCATAATGTCCGTGAAGCATGGTATGCAGCAATTAGCTGTTGTTATAGACAATAGGTGCATTTCCACCAGCCAAGAAGTGGGCACATCCTGGATGTGTAGTACAAAATCACGCATGGTCCTGCAATTCTACGGTCATTTCATGATGTCACAAGACCAACTCGTGGAACACTTTCGATTTCATTTAGCATCTGAAATGTTCCTGATGAGAAGGGAACCAGTAGTTACATCACATCTATTACATTAGCCCTCCAGTGGAAAGCCAGGGTTAGGTTTACAAAAAATTACTTCTAGGTTGCTCTTTTTCCTAGCTTCCGTTCTGTCCACAACCCTGATGCTCTCTAGAGTCAAATTACAAATGCAGCCGCAGTGTTTGTGTTAAAGACTTGGCAAACTTGCAGGCTCACTGGCACGCGAACCAGAGTTTAGAGGCCAGTCAGACTATAAACAATGACTACGTTCCTATGCTGTCGGCTGAGAAGGAAATCTGTTTCTATGTAACCTTCTGTCCAACATGATTGAGACATTAGACTGTTTAGTGGTTATTTAACTGTAGAATTCTTACTTATTGCACCTTTAAATTATTGTTGCTATTTTTCTGTCTCAGCATAGTATGACATGGTAAAAATGCAAGCAAACTCAAAACGATTCACATATTCAATGAGTTTCACAAAGCCTTAATAAAAAAGTAAGAAAGGCTAAAATCCTGGATAAAGATTTGTAATCTATGTAATATATTTTTAAGCTTTCCATTACCTTAATACATCTGAAGGCCATCACAAACACATGCACACACACGTACACACACTCACACACACACTCACACACACACACACTCACACACACAGACACGATTCAACCAGCACTCAGATCTGTTGGCTGCCCAGGGTGCTATATCACTGCAATGGCAGCACATTAGCTGTGGGCCAATGCTCAAGCTTGTGCCATAAAAAAATGAAAATGCAAAGAAAGTAGGTCACTACCATAACTCCCAGCTCTGATAAGAGGTCTTACAGTTGTGCATTCAGCTTGACTCAGCACAAAGAGTAAAGGTCAGAAAATAAGCAGGCACAACAAGGCTCTCCAGTAACAATGTGTGTGTGTGTGTGTGTGTGTGTGTGTGTGTGTGTGTGTGTGTGTGTGTGTGTGTGTGTGTGTGTGTGTGTGTGTGTGTGTGTGTGTGTGTGTGTGTGTGTGTGTGTGTGTTTCCCAACACTCGCTGCTCCACCTTGAATATAAATGATCTAATTTGACTACCTCATTCACAAAAAACTAAATGGAGATCCAAAACAGACCTTGAGAGTTTCCTGCAGCTCATATAGTCACATACAAACAATAAAGACTTATGTCTTTCTGTCAAACTTGAACTAAAAGCTGATCAGATTGGCAGAGAAATGCTAAGACGCAGAGATAAGGCATCAGTGAATGTCTCAAGAGCTTTCAGCAGAGAGGGGAAAGGAGGAAAAGATATCTTTTATTCAGCTGTATACCAGCTATCAAATCTGGCAGGAGCAGGTCAGCACAAAATTCAATTGCAGCTTCTTAGTAAATATTTTCCATAGCAAAACATTCTCCCTTTTAAGTCACAGTTACTTCAGCAAAACATGCTTTTCTGAACCACTTGTACTCAAAACTCTAGAAACCAAATGTCCTTTGGATCAGACTTCCAAAGTACACCTTGCTGTTCTTCTCCTCTTTTCCTGGTATTTTTGTAGGTAGTCAAATGAGCTAAAAATAAAACAGAACAGGAGCAAACAGACTTTCTGAAGAAGTGAACAGAATAGCAGCTCAACAGCTCTAATAAGACACAGGCAGCAGCTAGACTCTGTAACAGCATAAAACGACACTAAACAGATAATCCATTAATCTGTAATGATATACTGCAACAATGTTATTTGTCTTCTGCTGCTTAGAGAGTTATGTGTTGAGTTAAAAGCAGCGTCTGCAGGTCTGTGGGGTCAGCTGAGATGTTCTGAATCCGGATGCAACAGGAAATGACCTCAGTGGAGACCAGTCTTCATCAGGGACTGCAGCTGCTCAAACACGAGGACCACAAAGGTGGGCCATCACTGCTGGAAACTAGCTGTCATCACTGCACAAACATGCATGAAGCGTATGTCCTTTGCAATGAGCATAAAGGGAAATGCATGACAGAAAGGTTTCTGCTTAACAGGAAGCCAGAAAGAAAGTTAACTGATGCTCACTTGTGCTATACACAGTTGCATTTATTTTTCCCTTTGCAGCATGTAGCTGCTATCAAGCTCAAAAGTAGCAAGCAACTAACAAACATAGCTCAAAGTGCAGCTGCTCAGCGTGCGTTCTCCTGTCTCACAAGCTCAAACTCTAAAGTTCGACACATTCACAACATTTTATGTCAAGTTTTCAGCCTCTAGCTTCTATTACAGTGTAGACAGTTGCAGTACAAAAGAGGAAACCCCTTCCTGAGTAAATAAGCTCACAGGTACTCCACGAATCACCACTCTGCTATGGCCTTGGTACAAAACAATCATTTATCTGCTCTCTATTTTGAGCAAAGAATGAAAAAAAATGGATGGAGGTCAAGTGCGATGCATAATTTATGAGAGTCAAAAATACTCAGACATTTAAAATATTTAATATCCCAAACCTATCAGTTCTCCAGCTTCTACCTCTTGGCAACCATGTATTATTGAGACACACACCATATAGACCGCTAGCTTATTAACAAGTGTAATGGTGCAGCCCACAGGCCATTACAGATTAGAAAACATTAAATGAACACAAATGAATGTTTGTACTATGTGTTAAAGTACACACAATTTACACACAATTTTTTATTAACTTAAATTACCATTAAAGTAATACAAGTAACTTAAGTCATTTTCAACATAAAAACCCTTACCGACCATTGTATAATCAGGAAAAATATTGTGAAAAAAAATTTAAAGATGTTTTCATTTTTCTATGCAGCCTGATTTTAAACAATACACAGACCAGTTCTGGACTTGTACCCAGTTGGGAACCCCTAACCTGTGAAAATCACCCAAACTCAAGTTTATGGTTTACAGTTTTGACATTTCGTTCACAATATTGTCAATCCAAGCCCATCAAATTAAAATAAATATTGAATCTGCTCACTGCAAAGCCATCAATAGTAGTTTACATTGTTTTGATTCTCAGCTTGGTGGTTGTTTTTGCTGAGTGCAAAATTAACGTTTGAAGACGGACAATAAAGGGTAAAGCAACCAGCGTCTCATTTTAGGGGAAGAAACAACAGGAGAGGTGAGTAAAAGACACAAGTAAGCAAGCAGATGTGTCAGTAACAGCAGCTATTATGTGTTTTGAATCTTTTGGATGTTTTTAGGCATTAAATTAACCTTAATGAGGTGTATAAATGATTGGTCTCCTATTGTCAATGTATGACAAATCATAACTATTGTTTGCTAGCAGTTTACAATAAATTAAATAAATAAATAAAATCACTCTCCCTATTAGGTTACACTTGTTTGGAAAGTCATTTTATTATTCAGTTTAGAAACGATTATACAAAAATCTGAAACAGTATTAAAAGAATGCTGAGAAGAAACGATTATTTATGAAGCGCCTCTCAAGATAAAAATCACAAGGCAACAAAAACAAAAAAAAAAGAATTATAATATAATGAAAAATAGGGATGTTACATCAAAACATCCAGCTCGGTCATGGTGTGGTATATCATGATTTTCGGGTATTCACCCCAACATCACCTCATTATCATGTGCCGCTTTCATAGGCGTCATTTAAACCGGGGACGCCGGGGATATGTCCCTGGCAAAATTTGTGATTGGCAGCTGTGTCCCCCCCCACTTTAAAAAAAGCCTGCTGATGAGGATTTTAGTTTTACCAGCTCAGATCTTATACCAGGGGTCGGCAACCTGTTCCCATCAAAGAGCCATTATTACCCGTTTCCCACAGTAAAGAAAACAACGCAGCAGCTGCAGAGTTGTGGGCGGGGCCTACCCTCAGACAGCAGAGAGCTGCTCACAACCAGGTGACAGCAGCCGGTACCGGTCGCTCGCATGGGCGTCACACCCGTGGGGGATTCAACACCCACACTTTTCCTTCTGTTTTGCTCACCTCCACACCAGTCTGGCACTCACTCTGTTTGCCTCATCTCCTTCTTCACCTCCTGCTTCTGACAGCCGATGTCGGGTTTCCAGGATAGCAGGAGAGGGAGGGACGGAAGAGCTCGACTGAATTCATAATTTTACATCTTGACATTAGCTGTACAAAGTCTGAGTTTGATAAAGTGAAGAACAACAATTTGCAGAGGTTTATAACAGGCGCGGTGCCAGGTTCTCATTTTTGGGTGGACCACGGTAATTCTGGACGGACCTTAATAAGCAGTGACTTAGTGAAGCAGGCAGGACGCGCTAGAAAATTTTGTTTAAAAAGACGTCATAAATGTTTTCCCCCGTCATTTTTATTTCTAAAATACGAAGTAAAAACTCACAATTTAATTTTCATTCATTTGTCATTAATATGTAGTCTACACCCATGCGTTAAGTGGACCATCTTCCAGTAAAAGCAAAGCATCCAGCCCACCTCTCCAAATGCGTAAATGTGCGTCAGCCGCTAGTTAGGCGCGCTGCAGCCCAGACAAGAGCAGAGCAACTAGAGAAAGAATAGAGGATAATTATGTCTGGATGTGGATGGAGATTACATTTTACAGCAGCCTGATCATCATTTAAATACGTAAACCATCACCTGTCTTCTAGTCCACACTATCAGCATTATTTTAATTGGTGTGTGTGTGTGTGTGTGTGTGTGTGTGTGTGTGTGTGTGTGTGTGTGTGTGTGTGTGTGTGTGTGTGTGTGTGTGTGTGTGTGTGTGTGTGTGTGTGTGTGTGTGTGTGTGTGTTCCACTTCAAACACTGGTCTAACCAACCAGACCAGCATGCCCAGTAACATATTAATGTTACACTTCATGTAGGCTAGGAACATTTCACCTGCCGTGGCCCGACCACTTCTGCTCCACATAAACTTTGTGCGTAATCAAATGTCTCTACAGGTGCTTGCTGAGCTGAAGAGCTATTCTGCCTCAGACTGGATGCGTAATGCGTCTCCATATTAGAGACGGGAACAAGCGCTGTTCAGCCAAAGTTTCATCATTTCATAAAAAGAACATTTTTCCAAGTGACACATCCCTTAGAGAGACCGGGTTTCCAGACCGCTTCAGTGGGAGGAAATCATCGCATGCACCATGGTTCTGGCTGCGAACCCCTCAGATCTTCAGCCCACTGCCCACCGTGGGCGCTCCGAGCCGCGCTGAACACAGTGTCCAGTATAAAGCTCTGATGTTCTGATGGGAATCAAGTTACCTCTGCGATGTATGTAACGATTAAAATGTCAGCTCATCCATGCGCATCAGTGTGCGTCGGGGTAATTCTTTCAAAACAACCAACATCCTTGAGTTCATCTGTCAATATGTGGAGAAACGAGGGCCCGGGCGGGATTCAATCCCAAGACTCCCGGGTGAGAGTCATACGCTCTAACCAGTCAGCCAAAGGGACATCCCCTTGGCCAAGTAGCCAGGGCGCATTATCTATCGGGACACTGTGACAGGACACTCACACTGCCACACCTGATCATGAAACTTTGGCTGAATAGTGCTTGTTCCTGTCTCCAATGTGGCGACGCATCCAGGAACCTGTCTGAGGAGAAGCCCAGAATCTGACATCCTCCAGCTCAGGAAGCGCATATGATTACGCACAAGCGTGACGCGTCAACCCGGTCTCACAGTAAGACCGGGTTGGACCTGTTCAGGTTTACGCAGACAATCTTTACATTTAGAATTGGCATACAGATGTAAAATTAATGCAGTAAAATATAAAGCTTTTTATTTAAATATCCATTCATTATTTTACAAGCACAGAGAGCCGCATCAGATGGATGGAATAGCTGCATGCGGCTCCAGAGCCGCCGACCCCTGTGCTAGCCTACTTTATTGTCCCCAGCAATTTTTAAACCCCGCTCAAGTGTATGGTTATTGTCCCCAGCAATTCTGAAAACAAACTGACGCCCTTGGCCGCTTTCACATCTGGAATGGCCTGGTTCATGCGGCATCGGTCCAGGTCCCGCATCCCAAAGTGGTTGAATAATGTGTGCATTAATCAATGATGTGTTAAAATGAATATTTTTCCTCCAATGATTAATTTCAGATCTTAAACTAAACCAGATCAGTATTTGTTGATTTAACAAGTGAATCTATCAGTGTACTCATACATCATAATAGGTTTTAACATTCACTTCACACAAAAGTGTAAAAAACATTTCCACTTCACACTGAGAATTAACCTCGATGAGGATCTGAGGGAAGGCGTAATTTCTGAGATATTTTGGTAATGCCCTTCAAACCTGTCAAATTCTGATTTGCCAAATTTATAAGCAAAATTGACAACAACAGGAATCACTTCCTGATCTAGTTAGTCTTCGACGTTCACTCAATAAAGCCAATCGGCTGAACAAGCATTTTCAGAGCATCCATTCTTTTGAGCCCAACGTCAAAGCCTCTCTGCAACACTTGCGAGTGATTTCAGACACAACGGCTCTTTTAAGAGCCACCCAACACCTCAGACAGACATCTAACCCGCAGGCCCTGATTTCATCTTATGGCCGGTGAAAGCTTAATTTAAAGGGAGCTACAACACTTTGGGTTCTCGTGGTCTCGATGCCCGGTGAATTCACCACTCGGGCTGCCTTTCCTCCAGACCGCCAGGAGTGACACATGCAAGGGTATCATAGACTCTGTACACTGGCATCTGATGGTTTTATACTAAATAAAGCTTAGCTTGTCAAACCATACAGTCAAACTGATTTACAACCCAGACTTCACAAGCTATATATATATATATATATATATATATATATATATATATATATATATATATATATATATATATATATGTATATATATACATATATATGTATATGTATATACATATGATACTCAAAAGGTTCTGCTGACACAACTAGCTTACATTCCATCATTTCACTCATACTTTGTTAGGTACAATCATTTAGTTTAGGAAAACAGAATTAAAGTCATTGTTATAACTACATTCTTGACTCTGTCTGAATTAATGTGAAGTGTATGTTACCTGAATAAGTCAAAGAAACTAAAGTCTTCTGATTAAAAATTCAAAGACCAACCAGGTTGATATTTCATATTTAAATGAAACATCACATCTTATTGATAATTATATATGTGATCAATTCTTAACGCTACACTGATAACAGCTGAATTAGAGCTATCTGAAATGACAGTTTCTCCTAGGAAGAGATCAGTTTCTCCAACCCACAATGTTCATTCTTGACATGAAGAACGTAACTGTGGACAGGAGGAGCTATAAACCCAATACGAATGGGAAATGTTACGTTGCTTGTCCTAGGAAGAATTATTAGTGAAGAATTTCAGATAGCTGAATTGTTCATTCTGGGTGATGGGTATACTATTGTGGATTAGCCTGGCCTGCCAGACTCCTCATCTGTTTAATTCTGCACAGAGATAGGGTCAGGAGACTCTCCTAATCAAAGAACCTCACCCCCTGAGAATTCTAACCGAGCCAATCAGTGCTGTGCAGCGTACGTCACACGTCACAACCATAGGTCACAACGCCAAGTTTGTCATAAACATGGAGACTGAAGCAGAGTTTGCTGCAACTCTTTCCTCTGTTCTAAATGACTTGGGAGTTTCTTTAAAAAAACAAGTAGAAGCGTTAAAAGCCTTTCTTCTTCTAAAAAAAAAAGACGTTTGCGCTGTCGCCAGACGCCATTTTTGACGATAGCAAAAAAAAAACTACAGCGTTGCACGTTACAGTCGGCATTTCCATCTGTTTTCTGATTGGTTATATTTGAGCTATATTCTCCTTAAAGATTGTGTAGAATAGATTGTCCCCCCCCCCCCCCCCCCCAAGAGACCATTCTGTTAAAGTAAAGAAACCCCTACATTTATTTTGTGTTAAAATCCCACAGTCATCACCACACACTGGTGAACTTACATCTAAGTACTTGACCCATCCCCGAGGGGGTGTGTGGTGAGCTGCGCTCGGGAACTATTTGGTGTTTTAACACCCCAGTCTAACCCCTTAAAGCTCAGGCATTGGGTCCCATATTTAAAGTCTGGTATGACCCGATTTCAAACCCGATCTCTGTCTTGCTATGAAAGTAGCTCAGAGTACACATCTAACATATAGATTCATTTGTTAAAAACTAATACGTATTTAATTTTTGTAAAACAAAAAACAAATATCTTAGTCGAGTAAAATCTTTTTGAGATTTAGTTGACTAAAACTAACTAAGTCTAAAAATCAACACTAGTGTAGGGGGGAAACTGGAGCGCCCAGAGAAAACCCACACCTGCATGGGGAAAGCACGCTAACTATATAATAAAAAAGCTAGAGGCGGGATAAAAACCAGCAAACTTTTGGTTTTGAGCCAACCGTGTCCCCATGCAGTCCCATTTTTGTACTAACTCGGTAAAATAACATATCACAAATGCTAACATAACAGTCAACAAATACTAAATTAAAAATCTATATGATTCATAAAAGTATATTAATCTTCTGAATATTTTAAATAGTTTAAAGGAAACATTTTGTAAATTTTCTAGCTTTTAAAAATATGTAGACTCCTGTGATCTAACTGCTTTACGAACTACAGAAGACTTGTAAGATGCTAGACATTTAACATTTGACAGAGCTATTTTTTGACGAAGCAGTTCTTAATGTTGATGCTTGTCTTCCTTTTGGCCTCAGTATGTTTTAATTCTTCTTGTTCTTTGACGCTATATTTCACAAATATTTCTGAATTGAAATTTTTCACGGATTCATCAGTTTTTAACTTTGGCGAAAGTTTATCTGAATCTGTATGAACACTTGACACCTGACTGGGACCAGAACGTTCGGTGATTTCACTTTCATCATCTGAAAGATCGTTTCCTGTTTGGACATTTTTCATTATTTTACAAGAGTATCTCATAATTTTGATCTAAGGTGTCATCAAGATGTTCCATGGTGATAAAAGGGTGTTTTAAAGCATCAGCTGGGAGAATCCCGTTTGCTGGATCTACTGTTAATAGCTTCTTCACGAGGTCAAGAAAAGCTTTAATAGCTTCATTTTCAGTTGAGTTGTTGTTCGTGTTTTGTGAGAAAAACAAGTCATCCAGCAATGTTAACTCATCATAGGCTGGGTTTATTTATTATTTTTCTGAGTAGTGCATAGACCTATTGTATAATAATTGTAAAATATTCAGTTTTTTTCTAGAGTGACATAATGTTCCAAAATGTCTTCTAATGTTCTGTAACACCCTAAATTAATGTTTATTTAAATTGTTCATTTTCTGCATGAAAATACACCTTTTTCAAACTTGTAATAAAGAAAAATCATGTTATTTAACACCCCGGGAACGAATTTGTGCCCTATAGAGGACGAAAAACAACATTAGAAAAAGTACAAAAGATTAACCAGCCACTCATGCTGCCGAAACCCGGGATCGAACCAGGGACCTTTAGATCTTCAGTCTAACGCTCTCCCAACTGAGCTATTTCGGCACCATGTCGACGTAGACAGTATTAGTGGAAAAAACTTTAGAAAAGGTCTTGAATAACTACCTTCAAGGAGATACATGAGACGTAACATTGGAATAATGAATATTGTAAAAGGCTTCAGGTGAACTCCATACAATCGTTTCATTTTGTTAACATTAAATTATTACCACTCGGGAATTTGAACAGCTGTGCCGCTAACTTTAATTATTAAGTTATTTCACATGACACGTCCCAACTGGAAAACGAAACCAAAAAGAAGGTAATTTATCGGGCTGTCACAGGAGAACATTCTCAAACGTTTTTGGTAAGTTGGCTCATTTAAAACATTTCTAAAACATAATTAATGTTTATTTCTTATAAACATAAAATCAGGTATCAGTATAAATTCTGGGGTACGCGACATGATGTTTTTATGACTGAGACTCAATGCAACCACAATAGTGAGTTTACTTTTTAGGCTGTTTTTTGTATAAATAAATAAAATTATCAAAGAAATCAAGACGAATAAAATATTAAACGTCTTTCAGGTGGAGTTTGGAACAATAAGTTAGGAAGTAACACGTTAAGGAAGCAAACAGGCAGGATTTATGCTGATCAAGCATATCAACTGTGTTAAATGTGAAGTAAAAGAAAGGTTATAATGATAATCCCCATAAATGAAGTTTCTAATTAGCGAAATTATATGTGTATATATATATATATATATATATATATATATATATATATATATATATATATATATATATATACACACACACACACACACACACACAATCTGTGTTTTTCTCGGTGAACAGGTCAGGATGTCAGTGGAGTTCTCAGGGTGGGAGGTGGTCGATGATGGTGCCTGTTTTCCTGGAGTGATACTAGGACCATCACAGGCACCTCAAAACAAGGGTGTCTACACTATGTTCCATGGGACCCATGTTTCCAGTGCTCGTGCCATCATCACCAGTGGTTTCCAGCCTTCAGGTGGAGGCACCCTGGGAAAGGGTGTATATGTGAGCCGTGATAAGAACAAGGCTTCAAATTATCCACTTTTCGGGAACTCCTCAGACCAAGTGATCCTTGAGGTGCGTGTCCGAGTTGGCCGCGTGAAGCGTATTGACCCGGCCGACATCCAGATGCGGATTACCTGGAGCACACATGGCTACAACACTGCCTGGATTCCCCCGGCCAATGCCATCAGTGGCCTAGAGGAGGACTGTGTGTTTGATCCTAAAAGAGTGACGGTGGTGGGCATTGCAAAGGCTCCAAATGCTGTTATAGAAAAGGAACTCAGAGAGCTTATTTCAAAAGCATCTAAAACAGTCAAGGGAGCAACGAAAAGATCTAAACCTGTATGTTCCTTGTGTAAGAGGAAGACCCAGCAGGATGCACCTCACTATCAGCAGCAGTGCTGGAAGTGTGGGAAAACCATCTGTATTCTCATGTCCAAGCATTTCTGCACTGTCAAACCTTAATGGAGGACTGATGTTGACTAGGAAGTTTGGAAAGTCCGATGATTCGATTTTCTGTTAATCCTTAAGAAATACAACAAAATTACGTGAAGAAACAAGTTACAAACATAATAATGAAAGCAAAATGTACGTGGAGAAAAAAATTGCTGGTTATTTTATTAAATGGGCAGTTGTTAATTTAAATAATGAGGTATTTGTGTGTCAGTTTCAGTCTGAAGTCAATTTTCTAATGAATGAGAAGTTTAAAAACTTTATAGGAGTTGGGAGAATGAAAACATTTTCTTTTTTTGCTGTTGCTATCGCGGAATGGAACCCTAAAGGTTCTCACACACATTTCATCTCATCACGTCGTAGATCCTTCCTCCCAGCAGCTTTTGGACTCTAACCACCACTGCTCCCAACAAAACCAGTTAACAATCTCTTTTGCATTCCTTCATCCCTGCTGCTTTTGCACATTCCATTCATGTTCCCCTATTCCTTGTAAATACTCAGCTATCTATTCCACACAGTATTGTATTTTTTTAATGAGTATGAATTCCGTATTTTTAATCTTATATCGTTATGTTTTGGATGACAGTGGAAGAAGAAGAAGGCAATCATTTATATAGTGCCTGGATAAAAAAGATAAAAAATTACGAGGCACTTCACAAAAACAAAAACACAAAAAAAAACATTCAAGTGTAAAAAGATTTCAAAAATTATTAAAAATATGTTTCAAAGGGGAAAAGAACAAAAAATGTATGGAAAGGGAGAGAGAAAATTAATAGGAAAGAGGGAAATCAATGGATCCTGGTAAAGGCAGAAAAAGGAGAGGGAGGCGATGAAGGTCACACAAAAGCCATCTTGAACCGGTGAGTTTGGGGGGCCACAGCAGCAAATGATCTGTCACCTGTGGGCTTTGGTCACTGGACCTCAGGGACCTGCTGGAGGTGTAGAGACTGAGAAGATCACCAATGTAAGATGGTTCTTGTCCATGTAAGGCCCTGGAGACCAGAACCAGGATCTTGAATGAACCCTGAAGTTGACTGGCAGCCAGTGAAGCTGGAGGAGAAGCGGGGTGATGTGGGTGTGTTTGGAGGACTTGGTCAGAAGCCGAGCACAGGCATTCTGAACCACCTGTAGACAGTTTTGGGAGGTTTTGCTCAGACACGTGAAAAGAGGGTTGCAGTAGTCTAAGCATGAGGAGATGAAGGTGTGGAGAGCAGTCTCAAGTTCAGAGTGGGACAGAATGGGACTCAGCAATGTTCCTGAGATGGAAGAAGGAAGAGCGAACAAGAGAACTGACATGAGAATCCAGGGTGAGGGCTGGGTCAAAGATGGCAAATGAGAGAAGCGCTCACCCTGTAACTAGAAGGTTGCAGGCTTGAGCCCCACTCAGTCTGTTGCAGTTGTTGTGTCCATGAGCGAGACACTTAACCCTCCTTACCTTCCGGTGATGGTTGGAGGAAATGGTGGCACCTGTGCACAGCCTCGCTTCCGCCAGTGTGTGCTGACCATTTAACACTTATGATGTCTTGTTCACTGTACAGCCTTTTACTCTTTATTTTTTACTCCCCCTTGCTTCTTGTTCTTATCATCACTGGTTCACTTTGCTTGCTGCTGACACCAAAATATCTACACTGAGGGACATAAAGAGATGTTTTATTCTAGTTCTAAAACATGCAAAGGTATGGAGAACCAAATGTGTTTATTTATTGACACAAAATAAGCAGTGGCACGTAAAATCCATAATTCACTCTAATTTCAAATATAAAATGTAAACAGATTAAATATAACTAATAATGTATTTGAAAAGTATTATTTTAAAGAGTTCAAATTTTGTTCAATTGATGGTGAAATAATTTAATCGGCGAGAAAACGATCGTGGCCCGTACGGGGATCGAACCCGCGACCTTGGCGTTATTAGCACCACGCTCTAACCAACTGAGCTAACCGGCCATGCTGCACGATTCGTGTAATTGTCTTTTTGAGCACGGTAAAAATGCAGACTGAAAAGGTATGACGTTACTTTTACAAGTCTGAACAGTTTCACGTCATTGAACAGAAAGCGAAAGCCTAAAAGGCGACAACTCCCTACTGACGGTGAGATTTAAACGTCCGGTAAGCTAAAAATATTTACAAAAATACACAATTTAACACCAATCAGTGGCTTTGAAACTGTCAAAATAGTTTTAGAATGATGTTGGCTTGTCTCTTCTAAGAATGCTCAATTTCAACATAACCTGTTTCTGTTTTTATTATTGCATCTCAAAAACAGTTCATGTTTTAAGGCTGTGATTTTGATCAAGCATTTGCCAGTTCTGACACGTGACAGTTTCTAAATAACACTCCAGTCGGTTTTTGTTGTATTTGAATCAGTCGACAACCTGTTATCTGGTTTTCTGGGTAATTCTTTGTATAAATGAGGTTTTAATGTTTACTGACTGGGATGCTCTAAGAATACATTGGGTCTGATTAGTGACTAAAGCATAGTCCCATTCTTCAAAGAGTTAAACATTCCCATTCTTCTCACAGATCACCTGTTTTTGCAGGACCTTGATAGCATCCAGTACTGGAGCAAGATGTCACTGCAGTTCTTTGGCTGGGAGGTGACCTATGATGATTCTTCTTCTCGCTTGGAGCTGGGGGCCTCCCAGCAGCCCAAAGATAAGGGTGTCTACACCATGTATCATGGCACCAGCATCGCCAATGCACGTAACATCATCACCAATGGCTTTAAGCAGTCACAAACAGGCATGCTGGGTAAAGGTGTGTATGTAAGTCGTGATAGGAAGAAGGCAGAACGTTATCCTCTGCACAACAGCTCCTTGGATCGTGTGGTACTGGAGTTGCACATTCGTGTTGGCCGTGTCAAACGTATAGACACAGACAACCACCCGATGCAGTACACCTGGAGCTCCCAAGGCTACGACACTGCTTGGGTTCCACCGAATTGTGGCATGAAAGCTGTGCCCAGCGGCCTGGAGGAGGACTGTGTGTTTGATCCAAAGAGAGTGAAAGTTGTTGCCATTGCTAGGGCCCCCGACACTGAAAAAGCACAGCTCAAACAGCTTTTGGCTAACAGCCCAGTAAACGGCAGCAATGCAGCAGCTGCCACAAACGTGTGTTCACTGTGCAAAAGAAAGCAGCAACAGAGTTCTCCACACATCAAGCAACAATGCTGGGGATGTGGGCAAAACATCTGCATACTGATGATCAAGCATGTCTGTTCAAGGAGCGCTCAAAATCCCTAAATTGTACACTTGGGAGAGTTTACATCCATGTTTTCTCAGGCAGAAAGAAAGAAAACTAAAACTGAAACTTAAGATTTTAAATGCTCAGGGTGTAATCCTGTTTTGGATATTATGTCTTCCTGAAAGTGTATTTTGAGAAATGTGTTTACCTTCTTGGAAAAACAAACTTGTTTACACTGATTTTTCTGAACTTATTCAATTTTTCTACCTTGCTTTAATTTGTACTATACTAGCCTGTTATGGGGTCTCGTGCAATTAAAGTAGGACATTACTGAGGAAAATGTGTTTATTTTACAATGAAGGTGTAAATTATTTCATTAGATTTAAAAAAAATCTGAACTGATTTTATTTTCTGTAAAAAAAGAACCAAAAATAAAACCATGCAAATGAAATCAAATAATTTTATCTGTGCTGTCCAGATTTGCATTATTTCATATTGAGCAGCACCATGCAAAGAAGCGGATGCTTCTCATATGTGAATGCCTTTTTAGCATGCATAACTTCATTATAAATCTGTACAGTGTGTGTAAAGTGGTACAGATGCAACATTCAGGATGAAGACGTAAGATGAGAGTGAAACTGTAGCAGTCTTTGATTTCCATTCAATTTAGCATGTTGCAAAAGGACCTGAAAAGAAAACAGAGCATGTTCACCATTAAATTGTTAAAAATCATAATTTTCACAAACGTTAAAAAACAGGCCCAAAAAAAGTCCTCGTAAGTTATGTTGTATTCTAGAGTTAGGGCAGATTTCGAGTCCCTGCACACTCACGTTGATGAGTTCCTGGTCATTTTTAGCCTGCAGATGTCTGAGGAGGTACCAACTTGCCACCTGCACCACTGTCACTGGAACGCTTTCAGAAGACACGTACACCAGTCTCTCCAGCAAGCGCCTTGTTTCCCTGCACAGAAAATGCAAACTTTTACTTTCAATCCAAGTTTGAAGAATCTTGTTCAATTGACTCTTCCTCCCACGTTTCCATTTGCGTATCTTTGTCAACAGCCCGCCTGTAACCTTTGCATCTTTATTGGAAAGTTCCTGAGGAAAATACTGACCTAGCACCCGTTTTGGTCACATACTGAAGCAAGGCTTGAAAAAGCAGAGCCATGGGGGAAGAACCCAGCTTCAAAACCTCTGTAGTGGCTTCCATCACCAGATCCTTCCAGTCACTTCCTGGGACACCTGCCTAAAACATCAAGTACATAGTCAAAGAGTAGTTTGTTTATGTAGGCAATCTAATGAAAACTGGATAAAAATCACATTCACAGATGAAGTAATGAAAGTAAAATCAGTATTTATTGCAAAGTAACATTGATTTATTATCATTAAAACAAAAACATTTAGTGAAAATGGGAAACCTAGCTTGTGTTTGTAACCTTTTTATTTGCCGTCGCTGACAGAACTAGATTTCAGTGACTCACCAAAGAGGGTCGTAAAGCGAGCAGAGCGAGCCTCAGGAGGCTGGCGAGCTGGTAGTTGTGCACGCCAAGCTGAAGGGAGAGCTGCAGGCTCTGCCTGTAGGCCATGACGGCCTGAACCAGCAGGCCCTGGCTACGATACACCTCAGCCAGCCACTACAGAGAAGGAGAGGACAAGTTCAGATTATCTGAAACAAATATGCAGCAGGTTGGATAATTCACAGAGATTATTAGGTAATATTGACAAACAGGCTCTAGTTAATGCTACTTACATGCCATGCTCCAAGGTTAGTAGGGTTCATGGCCACAGCTTGGTTGAGCTGCTCCAGAACAGGGTCTGGGAGGACAGTACCACCATCAGTCAGTAGGAGGCGCTGACACTGAACCTGTCTCAGTGACAGCATTACAGCTGGGTGTTGAGGTGACACGCTGAGAACCTGGAATCAAAAAACATCACAAACATTTGTTCCACATTTCTACAGTGGAATATTAGTTAGAGTTTCCACCTGTGTGCAGAGCTCCTCTGCCTGGTCCAGGTGACCCTCCAGCATCAGACCGGTCACAGCCTGCTGTAATACCCAGCCTTCCAGAGACTGGGCCAGAGGGTGCTCAATCTCCTCCATACTACGCACTAGAAAACAAAAACCTTTCAGTCTCATACCAAAAACAGATAAAACAACACACACATGAATAAGAATACCAACACACCTTTTTCAGAGACTGCAGACATGAGGGAATGCTCCAGAGACTGTCGGCGAGGAGCACAACCAGTGAGATAACAGGACGTGTTTTCAGTGTGACAGGCAGCCATTAATCCCGCCCAAGCTGCTGGATCATCTGGAAAGAACAAACAGAAGACAGGGATTAAACATGTTTAACCATGGACTTTTCCTTTGAATATTAGAGTATATTCCTCTCTGGCACAAGTCATACTGTCAACTTTCAGAAGTTGGTGTTTACTTGTCGTCGGCTGCTTTTAGAAGAGATGATTTAATACGTGTGTGTGGTGGTTTACCAGGACAGAGCAGAACAGCCCTCTGCATCATCTTCAGAGCATTCCTCTGAGCATCTTCTCCTGAGTGTCTCCCACTGGCCAGCAGGTTCACCCCACTGTACAACAGCGCCCTCTGCAGGCATACAAACACAAAGTGAGAATAAATGTGTCTGATTAAAAAAACTATGTTAACACTTTGTTAAAAAACATTTAATTAAATAAAAATTCAGAGGTTTACCTTTCCTAGGGTCATGCTAGCAAGACAGGCAACATGACCAGCTACTGCTCCACCCTGTAGCATAAAGGAGTCAAAACTAAAGATCCGATTTATTCCATACAGAAAATGATATGACTGCATTGTTACATGGATGCTAAAACACTAGCAAACCTGGGATTGTGCTTTGTACATTTTGTCAGAAGAAACTTACGTTTGCTTTTCTAGGGTAGTGCTGTGGTATCACTCTGGACAGAAGAGCCCAGAGGGATGGGTTTCCAGGATTTCTACAGATAAAACAGCATCAGTCTTTTTGGCTCCAGTCCAGCAGAAGCCTTTATAATCCTACTGCAGTAAAAAAAAACTGGACAAAGTGAAGCAACAGCATAACAGAGGTAACGGATTAGATGTTCATATGAATCTGTAAAAACCCTCCAATGTTCATTCAAATGAGCAAATCCAGCTTCACATCTGCACACTTGTTTTTGTTTAACCCATAATAACCATGTTTTCAGGTATATTTCTAGAGGTCAAATATATTGTTAGATCTAAAACGTTCATTTTATAAAGGAATTACGCAGAGTTCATCAGTAATACACGGTACCTGTGTACAGCTCTGGAGGCCTCTCGTTGTACCGCGCTGTAATTGCCCTGTAGGGCCAACAAGGAGCATGTGAGCAGACACTGCAGCTCCACAACACTCCCCGAGGCTGGACCCTGTTTCAGCAGCTCTGCCAGGGCAGCAGCAGCTAGCATAGCATCACTGTGGACCAATCCCAGGGCACATAAACAAAGCAGAGACTCTGAGATTGGCTCCTTTAACACCGAGCTGTGGACACAGATCAGAGGAAATATAGAATTCAGTTATAAGTTGATTATTTTCGCACTAAAACTAAACAAAAAAAAAAACAGTATTTCTGCTAAAACCATAATTAAGTTTTTTTCCTTCCTTTTCAGAAGGAGTCACTCAAGCTGCTTTCATTAGACACTCCGTAGCAGCAAATCAGGGTAATGCTGCTGCTACGGTGTGACTTATGAAAGCGCCTTGGTGGCACAGAAATACGAAAATGTGGGGCATTCGTGCTGCCAAGCCATTGTAATTTTACTGTAACAGCGGACTTCTGAATGAATATCACGCCTTTATCACAGAGGGCGATGTCCTCATGGTCACGTGTGGCATGTCCGCCGAGCCCCGGTCGGCATCAGTATTGAAAAGGAAAGTAAAAACGGGCGGTCTGTATCGGTTTTGTAAATAGCATTAGCTGAGATCCAGGAGTTTCTGTTTATTAGAGCTGAAGCACGGATCACCAGACCGTTCACGGGGACCGTGAGGGGCGGCCATCTTTGTGCGGCTCAAAAAAGCTTAACGAGCATGGCGTCAGTCAGCATGAAAACCAAGTTATGTCCAAGTTAAAGGATGTCCGTGACAGCGCGTGGATTGCCCCCACGCACTCTTTACACCACCATCAAGTAATCTTTTGTGAAAAACACACGATCGCACCAAATTATCGCCACAGGCTGACAACTTAAAATGACCAAAGGCTCCCTGATGCCACCTAAGCTTTGCAGCAAAGTCGTGTAATTGTTTTATGAAAGAGGCTTTATAGATCTCACCATTTGAAGAGCAGAGTCTTGGCTAGGTCGAGGTTGCCTTGTCGGTGCTGCAGCATGGCCAGAGCAGTCAGTATGTATGCCTTTTCTTTCTCGTTAGAAGCCACAGCCAAGCCTCGCTCATAGGCTAATAAACACACACACAAGATACCTCACTTACTCACTCAGGCATGTCAAAACACAGCATTTCTGCTTTCCTCCACTTCTTACCATTGATGCTTTCAGCGAAGAGTCCTGCCCTGAAGTAGGCCAGAGCCAGGCCAACCAGATCACTGAGGTCCTGCAGTGGAGTGGAGTTATATACATGCACCGCCTCCTCCCACTGGCCCGCGTTACTGCAAAAGGACCATTTATACATATAAAGAGGCATAAAAGTATAATGATGGACTACAGCATGATAATAAGTTACCATAAAGCACGAGCGTAGCAGCTGAGAGAAAAAGCTAGCTCTTCTGGGGAGGATGTGGACTGCAGCAGTTCAACAGCTCTGAGGAGATTAAGAACACACACAACTTTTGTATTTTTAGGAATAATTATTTCCCACGTCTCCCAGATAATAATGTGATTCCTACCGTTGGTACGCCTTTAAGGCCTGCCTCTTCAGCTGCAGGCGTTCATTAAGGTATCCCAGCTTGATGAAAGCATCAGGGTCAGACTGAATTCTCTCTGAATGTGGAACAAATCACATATCGTGTTTGACCTGGTAGAAAAACCATCTCTTCTTCACACCATGACACCAGTTTTAGAATCATTGCATTGGCTCCCCGTATGTTTCAGGATCAATTTTAAGGTTCTTCTAATGGTTTTTAACTGTCTTAATGGTCTTGGGCCTTCTTATCTCTCAGAAGTGTTTTTACCATATGAACCCTCCCGGCCTCTGTGCTCCTCTGGCAGGCGTCTCCTGGTCATCCCTAAAGTCAGGACACAAACTCACGGTGAGGCGTCCTTCCAGTGTTATGGCCCTCGCCTCTGGAACGAGCTGCCAGAGGACCTCAGGGCCGCAGAGAACGTTCATGTTTTTAAGTCCAGGCTCAAGGACTTTAGGTTAGCTTTTATCCAAATATTTACTAGTTTTATTTCTCGTTTTATATGATTATATTTGACTGCTTGCTTTACATGTTTTATATGATTATATTTTAGCATTGTTTCCATTATTTAATATTATTATTTTACTGTCTATATGATTTTATTTATTACTTATTTTCTAACTTTTGTCCCTTATATTAGCTCTTTTATTATATTTTTACTCATTTTAATCCAGTGTTTCCTCTGTAGGGGCCCTCTGCCCCGGGAGCGGTGGCCGACTGTAGCTTCCTGGGCGCTCTATAGGTAGTGTTTAAGTGGAGGTGGGGGTCTATGCTCCCCCTCCACTGAGCGTGTCATGAGGTGAGGGTGGAGATGGCAGACCATGTGTGGTGGAGGGTCGAGGAGGCAGGAGAGCAGGCACGGATGAAAAATAAAAATGGATTTAATAGCAACCAGGAGCGACAGGACAAACGAGGACATGCACATTCAATGATCCAACCAAGACAGGTACAAGACGGGAGGTATAAATACAAAGGGAGAATTAGGAACACATGGGCATATTAACGAGGGGCAGGTGAGAACAATAGGACTAATTAAGGCAGGAGCGACACAGTCAGGGAGGCCGGGGCAGATCATGACAGAGCGCCCTGACTTAGTGTGGAAGACCTGATGCTGCTGGGGCAGACGGCTCCTCTGATGGCATTTCCTTGCCTTACCTTACTTGGCTCATCTGAACTCTGCCAAATATAATTTTTTCTTGTGTGTGTGTGTGTGCGTGCGTGTGTGTGTGTGTGTGTGTGTGTGTGTGTGTGTGTGTGCGTGTGTTTGCATATGTCTCTTAATGTTTTTAACCTGTTATGGGAATCTGGGGTCATTTTGTAAAGCACTTTGTTTGAAAAGCGCTTTATAAATAAATCTGATTGAATGATTGACACATTTTGATTGCTGTACCTGTATATTTGCTGAGCGCCACTTGAGCTGCAGAGACTGCATTCATCTGAACGATGTTGTACCGGTACAGTTCAGCATCTCGGTTGTTCTTATCCAGCAGGGTGGAACAAACCCAGTAGGCATAGCCTTTCACACCTTCCATCTGTCAAACATGCACACAAACCTTTTAGTGAGGCTTCTAAAAGCAAAGCAAGGTTCTGCATCAACGGGCTTCTCAGTGAGAGAAACAAAGCACAGGGATGATAACTTCTGTGGAGTAGTGAAGATTAGGATTATCTAACTAACGAGAGGTTAGTGAATGTCACACACGTGTGTGCTGAGTTCAGTAGTGTGCCTGAACAGATCCATGGTGTCGTAGCTTCCCACGCGTTCTGCGATCAGCGCCTGGTAGAAAGACAGAAGCATTAAACTGTAATTAATGAGGACAAAGTCACGCAAGTATGTTCACATTTTAGCTAAACTTAATAGAAAAGCATTAATATAATCCCCGATAACCTGTCCGATCCAGCAGCTGACATAAAGTGGCTCCAGCGATTGAGCAGTTTTGAAGGCCTCGTGTGCAAGCTAAGAAAAAAAAATACACACTTTAGACGAGAAAAGGGCAAAAATGACAACCAGTGTGTGAGCAAAGGGATCATACACACCTCTATGTTGTCCTTCTTCAAATACAGAGCTCCAAGGTTCGTCCATGCGACTACATTCTGTATGGAAACATTAAAAAGGCAACTAAAAAAAGTCTAAATGCTTTCCAAGAACACTTGTGATCTGTGGGATAAAGGAGCCGTACGTACGTTCGGCTCAACTTGAATCGACTTGATGAAGCAATGCTGAGCCAGAGAACAGTTCTCCAGACCTGAAGAGGCAAAACAAAAATTGAGAAGAATTTATGTTATAGATTTTTATCCCCATTTAACAAAAAGGCTCAAAAACAGCTTAGCCTTTCTTGATGCCAAGGGAACTTATATGGTGCTACTGACAGCCTTTGAATACCTCGTACAATTTTATTTTTTGGATTATTTACAATCAATCATATACACATCTATGAACTGAACTCAAAACAACGAAACTAAACTTTATTGTTCAGTAACTAATTGCAGGTAAAATTCCAAGTGCTTTCAAATGCCTTGAAAATTCTGTTTCAAGCCTCTTTAAGAACGTTGAATTGACCAAATGTAAAGCTGTATTCTCGATTCTGGAGCCAAGGCCTAAACCAACAAAGTTAGCTTCAAAGAAAAAAGAACATGATTAGTCTTCCTGTGAACAGATACCTTTGTTCATGGAGATCACTCCCAAGGCATTCCAGTAGCTGTGGTTCCCACTGTCCATCTTGATGGCATTTTTGAAACACTGGAATTCAATAAATAATAAAATAAATTACATGTCTGCTAACAATCAATGCAAAACTGTTGTGTGTGTCCATCCATCTATATTTTCCTCTGCTTATCTGGGATCAGGTCGAATCCTAAGGTGTTCCCTGGCCAGCTGAGAGACATAGTCCCTCCAGCGTGTCCTGGGTCTTCCTGTAGGTCTCCTCTCGGTTGGACGTGCCCGGAAAACCTCACCAGGGAGGCGTCCAGGAGGCATCCTAATCAAATGCCTGAGCCACCTCAACTGGCTCCTCTCGATGTGGAGGAGCAGCGGGTCTACTCCGAGCCCCTCCCGGATGACCGAGCTTCTCACCCTTGCTCTAAGGGAGAGCGAAGACACTCTGCGGAGATACTTAAACTCCTCCACTTGGGGCAGGACCTCATCCCTGACCCGGAGAAGGCATTCTACCCTTTTCCAAATCAAGACCATGGTCTCAGATTTAGAAGAGCTGATTCTCATGCCTACTGCTTCACATTCGGCTGCGAACTGCTCCAGCAAAGATCGAAGCCAACAGGACCACATCGCCTGCAAAAAGCAGAGACTCAATCCTCAGGCCACCAAAACGGATCCCCTCAACACCTTGGCTGTGCCTGGAAATCCTATCCGTAAAAGTTATGAACAGAATCAGTGACAAAGGGCAGCCTTGGTGGAGTCACCAGGAATGAGACCAACTTACTGCAGCAATGTGGACCAAGCGCTGGCACTGGTCATATAGGGAGCGTGATCTCCCTGTAGTTTTACATTGTATGTGTGTGTCTTCTTTTTTTAATTACCTGCTGGGCTTTCCCTAAGTTCAGAGTTTGGGAATTCTGGTCTTCTTCCATGGGATAAGACCGGCTGGTGGCCTGGCGGTAGTAGTTGAGGCCTAAGTCATACCAAAGACTGGCAACCTTGGGCATCAACCTCAGAGCATGAGCATAGCACCTGTAACAGATTTACTACTCAATGCTTCTCATCTTCGTTAAAAAACAGTCCACAGTCATGAATTACTTCTTTATTTCAGCTACATTTAAACAGATGCATTGATCTTAGTGAACAACACGACAGTGTTAAAGTAAAGTAAGTCCATTCTGGTCGTACCTTTCGCCAACTTTGAGAGTCTGAGCCTGGTTCAGTGTGCGATCTTGTGTGCTGTGGTCTAAACCTGTGAGTAAGGCTGGCATCACAACTGCAGCCCGGCTTGGTGAGACAAGGCTGACGGCAGTACAACAATCCCCCAGAAGCTTCCACAAGCAAGACAGGTCTGGTCGCAGGTTCGCAGCCCTGAAGAGCAAAAAAAAAAAAAAAAGTTTAAAGACAAAAGGAATCAAGCTTAGAAGTTCAGAAAAAAACATTCACTACCTGCAGAGGTTGTGTATGGCTAGCTGAATGAGGTCAATGGCTCCTCCGTCTCTGCAGTCCTCCATTAAACCTTTTGCTAGAGACAGCTGGCACTCCCCAAGTCCTTGATAAGAGATCCGATAAATCAGATAAATAGCTAGAGTTGGGAGTCCTTTAACAGTCTGACAGGCGTGGCAAATTTAAATGAGAAGCACACTGAAGCAACTCTGAAGCAGACACATTACCTTTAAGAGCAGGAACGTAGTCCTGTTGTCTTGTGATCTGTAAGTACTCTGCCGCCGCCTCTTTGAACTTGCCCAGAGTCTGTTTGATGGCAGCAGTCTGGTAGAGGCTGTAGATGGAGCTAGGTTGAAGCTGATGAGCCTTACCAAAGGCCTTCATGGCAGCTGTGAAGCTCCGCCGGTTTAGATAGGCCTCACCTAAACATTCCCAGCACACCCAGTCCTCCGGATCTGCTCTCAAAGCTGCCTGCAAACTATTAAAAAAAAAACTGAAATTCTAGACAAGTCATTTTATTTATCATTTGAATTTCAGATTTGAATCTCATACTCAGCAGTGGCTTTTTGATGCTCTCCGATCTTCAGATAGTACAGGCCTCGTCTCATCCAAGCCCACTTAGCTGAGCCGGGAGTAGCTCTCTCTATCACCGACTGAAGTGTCGCTAAAGCATTGTCCTGTGGTGTTTGGAACGATGAAAGCAGATGAAAAAAAAATCACCAAAAGGGTACAAAAAAAGCTCTTTTTTCAATATTATATTAGAAAAGACAACTTTGTTGCCACTCACCATGTCCCCCTGATCCATACTGAGATCCACAGCAGCGGCTCCAGACTCCACATCACTGCTGTCCAGCTGAAAAGCCTTCTTATAGCAGCCTTGTGCACGACCATTATCATTTACCACCTTCCTATAATAGTGCCCCAGGTAGCGAAACGCACAGCCGAGGTGTGGATCTAACTTAGCAGCCTGAAATCAATCAAAACATCATCTTTCAAAACTAGGATTCTGTGTCAGTGTGCATAAGTTAGCGATCAGTGATCAGTATGTTAGAGTTCCACATGGATGGCGAGGTTTCCATAAAAAAGTCCTTAATGAGCGCACTAACCTTTAACAGGTGCGTGTGAGCTTTGCTTCGGTCCTTCTGTGTGTCCGCCCCCATGTCCCAGTAGACTTTTCCAAGCAAGAAGTAATATTCTCCACTGTCTGGGCTCTGATTAGCAGCTTTCAGGAAACTAAAACAGGAGAAAATACAAAGAGCGAGGTGAATTTACAACTTTGTGCTAATCTGTTAAGACTTTTAGGTATAAAAGAGCAACCTTTGAAAAAGAGGACATGAAAAAAGGGACTTGTTTATTCACCTCTGCTCTGCTAGCTGCAGCTGACCTTCTGCTAAATGTACCAGTCCTCTCAGAGCCGATCCCTGAACCACGTTTGGGCTGGAGGCCTCCAGCTCTGACAACACCTGTTAGGATTTGCATTGCTCTGTATTTCATCTTGTAAGCTGAACTTAAATTATATTTATTTTAAGCATTTACACGGTTATCATTAAAACATTCATTCCATCAAAATGTTTTCCCAACCTTGAGGGCTTGATCAATCTTCCCTTTGTTAAGGAATGAACGTCCTTTCAAGGCTAGCAGCACCGGGTCTTTGTCAGCTCCTGGGATCTGATCAAATGAGCAACAAAACAGAAGTAAATTATGTTGAGCTGCTAATATAAGCTACATTTGAAAAGGGACGACGGTGGCACAGGAGTTAAGTGCTCGCCTCATAATCGGAAGGTTGCAAGTTCGAGCCTTGCTCAGTCTGTCGCTGTCGTTGTGTCTTTGGGCAAGACACTTAACCCATCTTGCCCCAGGGCAGCTGTAGCTACATCGTAGCTCATCCCCACCAGAGTGTGAATGTATGGGTGAATGATTGATTGAGTTGTAAAGTGCCTTGGGGGGTTCCAGGACCCTAGTAGGTGCTATATCAAATACAGGCCATTTACCACAAATTTTCTTTGCATTAGGGGTGACATCGTCTGGAAAAAATGGCTTGAAATCAAGAATTTCTTTAATTTTTTTATTAAATAATTGTTTATTTAGTGTATAATAGAGATCAGAGTTGGGCAAGTTACTTTGAAAAAGTATTTATAGTAACTAATTAGTTCTTCAAAAAAGTTACACGAGTTACACGATAATAAAAGTAACAAAAAGTAACTGTCACATTACTTTTTATATCAAAATATATACAGGAAAATCTGGATCCCCCTCGTAATACAACTTACTCCATTCATTATACGTATATTACTGTACTAATATATAAATGACTAAATAGACTTGAACATAAAACAATGTGTGTCCAATTGTTTGTATAAATAACTGAAATAAATGCGCACCTAACAGGTGGAACTACAAATGGGAAACTATTTAAAAGTTACTGTGTTATAGGAAGAAAAAACCCCAAACAAATAAAACATTTAATCGTAAATAGATTATTTCTACGTTTTTAACAGTAAAACAGCAGTGGAATTATGTGAGATTAATTCATGTGATTAAACTTCTCACAACTAAAGTAGAAAAGCACTTTGCGCTTTTTTGTCGGTAAACTATGTATAATTGTGGGTTTTAATATCATTTGTATTAATCATAATCTAGAAGCAGCTCAGCTATAAATCCTTACAAATGACTCTGGAACAGGCGCAAATCTGATCGAGAACTTCAATTTGCAAACTTGGGTTAGACCCAAACGCGGACATGCTGGCGCCAGGTGGTAAAGATGAGGAGTTTGTTCTAGTAGGACGTAGTCGGACAGAGTCAGACTTACAGCGGGACTGTGGAAAGAGTCAGGAACACTAACTGGTTCCAGTTGGAGGACCTACGAAGATCAGCCACCATGATGAGGAAAGAATGAAGTTACATCAGAGAGGGAACCAGGTGAGCGGAACTTCCTTGTTGTTCACTGATATGAGGCGCTTGGATGTAGACAAGTCTACCTCTGATTTGTTTACCCTGATGTCTTTGAAGCCAATCAGCATGCTTATGTGATTGTGTTCACCCCTTTAGATTCTGTTCAGATGATGATAGCTTCAACACACCGTGCTGCTGAATTGTAGTAACGCACTTGCACTTCATCAGTAATGGAAAACACGGAACGATGGAGAAGGTAATGAATATTATTACACGTTACTGAAAAAACTACATTTAAATGCTGTTATTCCCATGACTTGAGACTTGGTACATTCCTGTCAGGAGTTAAGAAAGGTAGATCAAGTGGATACTGTGTTATTTCATGTTTTTTCAAAATAACTCAGTCACGTTTGTTTCTACAGCGACCTGTTTAAACTAAAGAATGTCATACACTCGTGTGTTCACAAAAAGATCATATAGAAACATGTTACACGTGGTATAAAGGGTACACAGCACATTAGTGAAAAATATTACCTGTGAAAAAGTCTCCAAGGCCTCATCAGCAGCCTTCTCTCCTCCACTTCTCACTAATGCTTCTACCTTTATGCGAAGCAGTTTGTTTCTCAGTTTCTCCTCTTCAGGCGTACACAGACTCAAGCCTAAAATAATTATACAAAAGAAGTTTCAGAGTCACAACGTACAACTTGACAAAGACCACTGTAGCACGACTCATCTAGTTAGCGTGATGTTTGGATGGGGAACCCCGCATCCTGGGATGCACAACAATCATTCCTCCTTACATGACAAAAAGAGTCCTCTATGCTACCTACAGGGTGCTAACTCACTATTTAGACCAGTCCACATCCGTAAACCATACCTTGGGAGCACGACGCAGCACAATCAGAGTATCTGTGCATTTTAAACTGAACCTCAGCCAGACTACTCCATCCTGTTAATGAGCTCCTCTTCTTTAGTCCTAAAAAATTTAAACACTCAAGTTATAGAAACTCACCACAACAAATGACAAAAAAGGATAATTCAGTGTTTACGTTTATGTTGCATTATTAATAAAATGTACTATTTCTTCTACAAAACTAACCTTGCTCCAGGTTACTGATGGCGTCGCTATACCTCCCATCTCGAACCGCTTTGACACCCAAACCTAAGTGACCTAGTCCACTATTCGGAGCCAGTTTCAGGAGCTGGGAAAAGCAGCTAATTGCATCCTCATCCACATTATCTTTAAAGAGATTTGTCAAATTTAATAAAAGGGATTTTGTCCTTTAGTAACATGCTATACAGCACACAGTACAGCAACTGTGTGTGTGTGTGTGTGTGCAGTGTAACACTGTTTTACCGGTTTTGAGGTAGAGGGAACAAAGAGCTTCAAGAGGAAATGCTTGGTTTGGGTAGAGGGACAGCATAGATCGGCACGCCTCTTTCATTTTGGTTTCTTCGTGTGGAAGCTGCAGTAAGACCACATTTAAATGAGCAAATTACTTTCCACTGCAAATAATGAGGTGGTCTAATTTGCTGCATGTGGTTATAAAGGATGTATAGGACGACGAGGATGCACTTACTTCAGAAAGATATCTAATATAGTTAGCCGAAAGCTTTGCGTGCTCCTCTCCAGGCACAGGCTCAGTGAGACGTATGGCCTTCTCAAAAGCTGTGATGAGCTGATGATCACAAAACAAATCAACAATGGTAGCATGTGCTTCAAAAATCAACTTTAAAAATATGTTGTATTTTTTAATTAAACCTGAAAATGAGGACTCCACTAAATAAATTAAAACTGCTTTGTCTGACTTTTGCTGTGACTTGTATTAAGTCCAATGTTTTTCTACAAATTTGTACACAAAACTGAACTTATATATGAGGAGGTCTTACATGCTGTTGAGTTTCACTGTCCATCTGCTCCCCATTAAGGCCATCTAAGAGGAGCTGGGTCATCTTCTGCAGCAGCTGCACTAATTCTTTCTTTTCCACACCGTCTTCCTCCTTCAGCTGAACAAGCTGCAGCCAAACCTTTGCCAACTGTACAAAGACAAATAAATGCGTACAGGGGAAAAATGTTTTCAAAGCTATAAATGATCGTGCATGCTTGCTTTTAAACGTTCATACCTTTAAAAATTCCCTGTCCGACTGATAAATATCGGACAGTTTTTTGATCACCTCATAACATTTGTTTTTATCAGACCTGTGAATAAAAAGCATGTTCAAAACCTATTAACCGCCAGGAATCAACGCCAAATTAATTTGATGTATTTAGAAGACGTGTTAGCCATAAGAAAGTATAACTTTGATTTTCAGTGATAAAAGGATCTCACCTTGCATATAGCTCAACAAGCTTTTGGTAGACGTTTGGCAGCTCGACTTGGAAATCCCATTGATCCGCCTTTTCATAAAGATTTGCTAGACCCTAGAAAAACAGATTATTGACATAGAGCAAGTGCCAACATGTAAAAGATCATTTGTAAGAATGTAATAAGTTAATGGGAATAGCCTTCTCCTAAATTTCCTATAACTTTACAGATTCACTGAGACATTGAGGCCTCCTTCACAAGACTCTCAGGTGGCAAAACATGACTGATCCCATTAATTCATCAGCATGTTAATTACTTTCAACATGAAGCATTCAATAATTATTGTAGGATGCCCAAAGAGGCCAAAACTTTACCTGCCAGGCCAGCAGCTGCTCTGGTTCCAGCTCCACAGCTTTTTTATAAGCAGCCTGGGACTGATCTGGTTGCTCCAGCTCACTGGCTGCCAAGCCGATGAACACCCATGCATTGTAATTATTCTTTTCAAGTTTCAAAACGACCTTAAAGCACATTGAATAGAGGAAAATCAGGTTTAAAACATCACGCTCCCAGCAAAACAATAAAAATCACCTTGATTTTTGGGACAACTTACCTTACAGTGTTTTAAAGCCTCCTTATATTCCTTATTCTTAATCGCCTCTTTGGCACTTTTCAGTGCAGCCTTCACTTCTTTATTGGACATCTTTAAAAGACACAACGAAACTTTTAACACCATGACAGAGCAATGGTGACAGTTAGCCCAACCCAACAATAGATATGGTTATTACCTTAATAAACAAATTATGTGACTCACAACCAATGCTTATGGGTTAACATTAAAGCCACTTTGTTCAAATGCTTTACGTAATTTAAATAGTAAAAAGTGACTTAGTGTTGCTAACTTTGCTGCATCTTGCTAACCTTATTTAGCGTTAGCTGTGACGTTGCGAGAATCAAAACCTAAAATGTAAAAACAAAAACGAAATACATTCTCAGTTAAATGAAATGAACAATTTATTCTACTGCAGCAAGAAAGCTGTACGTGCTCCTAAGTTGTAGAAAACATGAGAAAAAGTTAAATCAACCCACTGTTTACGTTTCTCGTTTGCAGTCTTCCGGAATGCAACGGAAGTACTAGACAAGTAATTTCTGAGCTTTTCAAAATAAAACATATTGCAATTCATTCTGAATTCGTTCACAATTATTGATTTATTCATAAATGAAATCGGAATTTTTTTTGTTACAATGAAATGAAAATGTGAAAACTACATTTTAAAAAGGGCTACACATATTTACAGCATACAAATTAGAGTAAACGTATTAGTTTAATAACTTTATTTGGATCAAATAAACATTTAAAAGTCATCTTGATTAGTGATTTAGCCACTTGTCAATGGCTCTCTCATTGCCTAATACATCTGTTTTCCAGTCTACGTACCACCTGAGGTTAGCTATGACCTGGCTATAGTTTTGCCCCAAACTTTCTCGCCATTCAGCAAATACTCTTTTGTTGTATAGATGGACATCTGCGGAGACTTCTGGATAGTCCACAATGCTGTGCAAAAGTTTATCGAGATGAGCCTGCACATCTGGAAATTTTAAAACAACATTGTGAAGTTCATCCTTGTCAGATATGAGATCTGTTGGGGGGAAAAAGAAACGGAATTGCATCTTTATTCACGAGTATTTATCTATAAGAAAATGAATTTAAGCTGGTTTCCAAAACTTTTAAGACTCACTAAAAAGTTGTGGGGGAACACTGAGTCCATCTGCATAGGTGATATATTTCCACTGGCCAACTCTTAGCATGTATGTAGAGGCATTAGCATTACAACCATGATATTCACTCAGTACCCAGCCTGGATGTTGCCACTTGGAAAAATCCCTAGACTCGGCTATCAGAGGCAGAAGAGAATGACCACTTCGATTTCCTATAGCTGAAATACCAGCTATTTCTGCAAAAGAAACAAGCTTAAATACAAAAATTTCAATACAAACATTTGTGTTCTGTTAGCTTTGAAATACACCTTTACCTCCTTACCAAGCACAGTGGGATAGAGATCAACCAAGGACACAAGCTGGTTGACCTGCAGACCAGACATCAGCTTTGGCCCCATGATGAGCAGGGGAACATGGGAACTACCTTCAAACATTGACATCTTATAGAACTGACGGTGCTCCATAGCTAGCTCTCCATGGTCAGCTGTGAAGATCACAACTGTGTTGTTAAGCAGGCCGGTCTCCCTTAGAGCTGAAATCACCTGACCTGGTGACATGGAGAGTTGGAAAAATAAATACATAACCTGTGATTCTAAATTGAAAAAAAAAGTGTTTCTTGCCTTTTTTTATTTAACTGGATGTCTTACAAAGACAATAAGACCATTAGGCAAGGAAAGAAATCAGGGTTGTGTAATTATCAAATTTCACCTGCTTCGTGCAAAATGAGACTCTCAACTGACCTAGCATAGCATCTGCTTCGGCACACATGGCATAATAGAAGGCTCTGATGCTTTTGACTTCCTCCTCTGTGAAATCTCCACTGCAGTTTTTGGTAAAGGTGGAGTAGTAATCAACAGGGTGCATGTTAGCCATTGGTAACCATTTAGGAACAGACACAAGCTCAGAAGACACCTATGTGTGTGGAAAAACAGATTGCCACTGCTTAAGTGAGTCACTTAAAGGATTTTCAAGATTATATGTAAAATAAATCAGACAAAGGTATACTTTTGTGAGCCAGTATGGTGAACTCTTGAATGTGGAGCCTCCAGCGTTAGGCCCGAGGGAGTCCGTTCGATAGGGATGAGGTAAATTGAGGCCGAGATAAAGAGCGAAGGGTTTGTGCGATACTGCAGCTGTCTGACGGATCCACTGTGCAGCTTTATCTGTGTTTTTCCAGTCTTGTGTCATAACCCTTACAGTTGACATGTCCCCAACTAGCTGAGAAACAGGCCGGCCCTCTTGGCGCAGCAGGAACTGAACATCTCGTGTCCATGCCTCGACCCGGTTACTGCAACAGATGCACAGAAATGGGAAGTTCAAAGAAATGTGAAACGTATGCCAGAAGCAGTTCAGTCAATGTTGTGGATATAGGTGCAAAACTGGTTTTAGTTGAATTATAAATTAAAGTTATTTATTTCCAGGATATTCACATTAACAAAAATAATTGCCATCATCACTGAAACAACTTTCACCTGACGGAGTGACCCCCTGAGGTGTAATCCTGCTTGCCCATCATCTTGGTGCGATATCCATTCTTCTCCAGCAAATCCATCCATGTGGTTGCATTCGCATCTAAGCATTTGTAGTTGTTCCAAGACTTAGTCAGGTGGACAAACTGACCACTCCACATAGCTGGGAAAAATGTTGATATACAATGCAAACAGTGACTTTTACATTACAATCAAAAGAGGGAATTTCAAACGCACTTTGAGAAAACTACCAGCTCTTGAGGGGCAACAGATTGGGGAGTTTGTGTAAGCGTTGAGGAAGGTTGAGCCGAGCTCCCTGAGGTAGTTAATGTATGGAAGATGTACAAGTCTACTGCCAGGATCAACGGACAATCGGCCATCCTTCACACACACACACACACACACACACACACACACACACACACACACACACACACACACACACACACTGTTAACCATCTCAATTTTAGATCCTGCCACTCTGATTCAGTCACTGGAGGATATGTCAAGAAATAAAGATGTGATTCTACTTGCCAATGCGTCACTCATCACCAAAACGATATTTGGTCTGGAAATATTTTGGCTGTCACAAAAAATTTGGAGGACGAAAATAAACACCAACATAAAGATGCTCATGTTTTCCTCGGAACTCCAACAGATATCTAAAAGTAAAGAAAAAAATTCCCAAACTGAGGCTTTTCACGGGTTTTACCCTAACGTGTTGTCTTTTTTCTTTTTTAAATTATTTATTTTTACTACCGCGCTGTCGGTGGGAGGTATTGTATTTACTTCCTGGTCATGATTTCAAAATAAAAGTATACTATAAAAAAAAGGGGGGTGGGGGGTTGTTTCGTGTCCATGGGGACAAAGAATGAAACTGATATTTAGAAGGAACTGAAATAAAATAAAACTCAAACAAAATCCATCTTTCATTAACCAATTCATGCATAAAAGTATAATACCACGAATTAATAAATTATAAACATTGCTAGAAGAGTGTCCCATCTTTTTAATTCAGCGGCAAAGTGGACACTAGAGGGCAGCATGCAACTAGGCATTAAACGTTTGTCTTTTTATTTTTTTTTTTTAATATTTTGCTGAGCTGGCACTGCAGTCATCCCACCTGTATCTATTGACATCCTAACGTTTAAGGTGCATGTCAATGTGTCCTTTGTATAGATAAAGTAAACAGCTTTCCAGATGTGTTTTATGTAATATGGGAAAAAAACATTAATGAATGCACTAAATGGCATTACATATGGTGTGTCAGGGAATCTATGAAGTTTATTGGATTTAATTGGAGGCAAATGGCATTTGTTAATACTAAATTATAAAATAAAAAATCCCCGTCAGGACAATAATACCTGATTACCTTTCGGGCAGCATCCCCATACTGGCTGATTAAAAGTAAAGAACATTGGTATTGTTGCAGATCAACAGGTGATTCTGCTGCAGCCCATAGTGGGAACATTGGTTGCCACTAGGTGGCGTTTTGAGTCACGAGTTGTTTTTCTGAAAACTGGGAGCTCAACACAATGAGAAACAGTCTTCTCAACATACACGGATCAGAATCAGTTAAATAACAATCAAAATGGGTCAGGTATATGAGTTACAACCACAGATGATCTGTTTTTAGTTTCATAATTAATATGCATGTTCTATACATCAACTCTGAACAGCCCTATGCTGTGTGCATCATGTAAAATGCAGCTCTTTGGATTTTACAATGACATTGCTCTGATTATGTAAAAGCGTTGTGTAAAGTGTTCACAATAAGCCTGCAGGCTGTGGCTCCAAAATAAAAACAAAATTCACACGTTTTGTGTGATTTAAAAAAATACTTACTCAAATATTGAGGTGGACTATGTACAGACTGGACTAAATCTTATTATTATATTCATAATTGATATTTTTAATGTCACAATTCGCCCCAAAAGCCTCACCCAGGACTATTGCAAATATTTCTTTATGCGGTGTTTCAGGTGCTTTTACCATACTTGCAGGGCGGTTGGATGAATGTGAGCTTTGCCTCACACTGCTCTGCCTGCCTTGTTCCAGAAGGCGAGAAGGTGGGGGCTGTGCAGCCACGCGCAGGCGCAGAAGGTTGTTTTTCACACAGCTTCTGGTTTAAAGTGAGCTGAGCTCCGGGGGTTTCCTTGTCTGTGACTGAGACCATCAAGGAGACAGGCAGATGATAACAGCATCCATTGCTGGTTATCAGCCTTCACAAAGCTCAATGAACTGCTCACAAAGAAGCCACTGATCGTGCCCGCTGCTTCTTGCAGGGCAGAGATACTGATCAGTGTCTCCAACCCCGTTTTTCTTATGAGATTCTTTTTTCATTAACTCCTTTTTTTTAGAGCTCGAGAAGATCTCTTTCCGCCATGGTGCTAGGAAAGGTAAAGAGCTTCATAGTGAGCTACGACTGTTTTAATGACAGCAACGTCCCCGTCTTCTCCAGCGGGGACTCCGTCTCAGGGAGGGTGATCGTCGAAGTCACCGGAGAAATCCGGGTGAAATCTCTCAAAATCCACGCAAAAGGAATAGCAAAAGTTCGTTGGACTGAGTCAAGAAACGCTGGATCCAACACTGCCTACACCCAGAACTACACAGAAGAAGTGGAATACCTGAACTACAAAGATATTTTAATTGGACATGAAAGAGGTAAGAAGTTTTGTAGAAATTGTGATGCTCCACTGGTTGGGGATCAGGTTCGCTGAAAGATATAGAGTTGCAGGGCTCAATAACAGGATAATTGGTTCGATTAAAGACTAAATAAAGACCTGTCACTTTATTGCCTTATTTCAGACGAGATGTTCGGTGGGTATTTAGTTGTCTTTTAAAATCTCCATCGTTGCTTGTTTTTGTGGTCAGAATGAATGACAGCTGCTCACGTATCTTGTGTTTTTCATGGCATTTGAGGCGCATAGGGAGGATTTATCTCATTTAAATACATATTGGAATTGAGTTGATTCTGTATTTTATAGCTATGAAGCTTTGTTTAGAAATTTCATCGCTAAACAACGATGAAGTTTCCACCTATTGTTCAAAGCGGTTCAATCCTGTTCCGAAAACTGGTTTGCGAGGGGGCGGGGGGAAAGCCAGAGCGCACCCTGGCTCGTGTGTGATTGGTTAAGATGCTAGTGTGTGGCCAATGACATCATTCCCCTGCAGAGTGGCAGAAAAAACTGCAACTTTTTAATCAATGTAAAACACCTGCAGGACACGAAAATTGGTGGTTTTACTGTAAATTTTAAGGAATTGTGAGTTGCAACCAGGATGTGCTGGACATTTGAGATTTCTTTGCTCTTAATTTTTAATTAAAATCAAGAGTTTTTTTTTCTTATACCAGTGAATGCAGTAAAGCTTATATTTGCATGTATTCGGTTAGGTCTGTTAGCATGGATTATGTTAAGCTAACATGTCCGAGACGTGGTGATATTGTCGCTGAACGATTTAATATTTATTAGCGTTGGGAACACGTGTTTAAATAAGTGGGTAGCAGCTCCTTTAGTCTTACGGGACCACAGAGCTTGTCAGACGCATTTATGTATGTGGTTGTTGTGACTGCGGCGTCGCGGAGTGAATACGTAATGCCGAGGGAAGCTGCTCACACCGGTTTAGTCCGGTCTTCTCCTGCTGGAGTCTGTCTCTTGACTGACAGCTCCGCACTTGTTTACCACACGGCTTCTGCTAGGGGGAGGGTGTGCTGAGCTGGCAAGGGCTGCGCACACGTCCTTATCCGCCACATATTTACCTTTTCATGTAAAATGAGCAATATTAAATAAAAAATTCATAATTTTCCCCCCAAAATAAGTGAGAAGGCATCGCTTCGCCCCATAAAATTACTAGTGCATTAGCATCACTCACGTTCAGTTTCTGATTTCTCCAAATTTTACTCTGCTGTTTTTTAAAATCTCAATACACTTAATTTCTAACAGACAAGATCAATTGTAAAACCCGTTTATTCTCTTTTTGTCTCCCCCACCCTGTGTTCTTTGATATGACTTACAGATGCCTTCGTAGAGCATTTTGTCCAGGTATGGTATACATGTGTTTGGAATATTGTCCTCCTTGTTTTTCAGACGATGACAACTCGGAGGAAGGACTCACTACAATCCATGCAGGAAGGCATGAGTATGCATTCAGCCTCGAGCTTCCACAGACGTAGGTGTCCCAATACGAAACTAGAATCAGAGAAAAAGTTATTTAGATTTGAGAACTTGACCGTTTTTCTCCTTTCTGCCCTTCTTTTACCGTCACCTGCAGACCTCTGGCTACCTCTTTTGAAGGAAAACATGGCAGTGTGCGCTACTGGGTGAAGGCAGAGCTCCACAGGCCATGGCTCCTGCCCATGAAGACTAAGAAGGAATTTACAGTCTTTGAGCACATTGACATCAACACTCCGTTATTGCTGGTAAGAAGTCATAGGAATGATGAAATGCATAGCTTTTATGTTTGCAAACTAAGAAAAAATGTTTATAAGATGTTTTTTCTCTACTTTTTCAGTCGCCTCAGGCCGGCACAGCAGACAAGACGCTTTGCTGTTGGTTCTGCACCTCAGGTCCAATTTCCCTAAGTGCCAAAATTGAAAGGAAGGGATACACCCCAGGTGAGGATAAGTGAATAAACGATAAGGTTGTTACTCATCTGTTTACCAGATGAGCCAATGGGATGATCACATTCTGCAGGATTCTCTACTTGTTACTGATTACTCATAATTAGGGTTCCTATCACTAGAGAAAAATATTAACTTCCATTATGTCTTATATTTGTGTAGGCGAGTCTATCCAGATATTTGCCGAGATCGAGAACTGCTCGTCCCGCGTGGTGGTGCCAAAGGCGGCCATCTACCAGACACAGACCTTCTATGCCAAAGGAAAGGTGAAGGAGGTCAAGCAACTGGTGGCCAACCTGCGGGGGGAGTCCTTGTCCTCTGGCAAAACGGAGACCTGGAATGGCAAAATGCTGAAGATCCCACCTGTGTCCCCCTCAATCCTGGACTGCAGCATCATCAGAGTGGAGTACTCCCTCATGGTGAGTTTGGTCTTTCTCTCACACACTCGATGAACATTTAGGTCAGGTGCCCGTTTTTGTTGTTTGTATTTGTTTTGAGACGACGGGCATACAAGGGTTTCTGCTTTCATCAGAATCAATATTTCCTTGTAAGCCAATATCCCGGTAAAGGTGCCTGGCTGACTCGGCTTGCATAACCAAATCTGGACCTGGGATTGTACCAGGTGTTATGTCCGCATGCTGCTAAGCGCATTAGCCCAGAATAATGGAGGCAACACCTGCCCTGAGGGTACTAATAACCTCTTTACCCTTCACATAGACAGATAACTGATCTGAACACACTGACCCACATGACCAGTTTACCTAAATATTGGTTTGCAGATTGGAATGCACAGCTCTGTAAACTCCCATTTTCAAAATCTAAATTGCTGTCATGTCCTCGTGTTTGTGCTCAGGTATATGTCGACATACCAGGGGCAATAAACTTGTCCCTGAACCTGCCCCTGGTTATCGGAACCATCCCTCTTCACCCATTTGGCTCCCGCACATCAAGCGTCAGCAGCCAGTGCAGCGTGAGCTGGCTGGGCATGGGTCTGCCAGAGAGACCTGAAGGTAGTTAAAGCAAATGTTTTTTTTCCCCAATTTACACAAATTTGATCGTAATTTTCAAGAAATGCTAAAATGTGATTTCTTCTCCTGCAGCTCCTCCGAGCTACGCGGAGATAGTGACAGAAGAGCAGAGGCAGTGCAGGCTGGATGGTCCTGCAGTCCGAGAGGAGCTGGAGGGTCCGCTATGTGCCTACATTCATGAGTTTCGTTTCCAACCTCCTCCTCTGTACTCTGAGGTCAGCATCCAAATAGTTAAAACATATAATTAGCCTTTCTTCAATAAAAAATCACCTCTTTCACTAAATAACCATATTTTTGTGATTTTCCTCCGTAGATTGACCCAAACCCGGATCATGCTCGCCGTACCGAGGAGCACAGGCTCGATGCATGTCCTTCGCGCTGAACGTATTCCTAAAATTGCCCTTTCTGACTTGGGGCACTTCAAGGAACCCGCTTGCAAGACTGAGCTTTGAACATTTTCTCAGATAACGGTGCTTTCATAGTGCTGTTGACATCTTGAGGAAAAAGGCATCACTTCCAACTCAAGAACTAGCCTGTAGTTGGCCAAATGCGTTCTGCCCCCCCATCAGTAAGAGAAACAGAAGTCTCTAGTTTGGGGTATAACTACCTTCCTGTGTCAGCCTTCTGAGGAGCTTTCAGTCTGTAAGGACCCCACACAACACACACACACACCTGTTGGACCAAGGCTCGACCTGCCAAGCTCCTCTTCAGCCTTGATTCTTCTGTTCTTGTGGCACATTAAGGACATGACTCCTAACAAGAAAAAGAAGGCCAGATTACTCGGTTCCTGGCATCAGTAGATTCACCTTCAAAAGAAAAAAATGGGGTGGAGAAAAAGTTCTAACCGCCGTAGTCCGTGTGAATGAAGGCGTTCAGCTGCAGTGAACAGAGCTAAGGCTAGGTCCTGTCTCATGTGGGATTTTGTTTTGCACATTTTATTGTTTTTACTTGAGTTGTGTGGCTCTGTTTTAATTTTTTAAATCACTAATTGTTTGGTTTTGGCTTAGCAAAGCACCAGACCGAGATCGCTAGACTGCAAGCTTAACCTTTGAGACGATCATCTGCAGAGACCGGGATTTGACTTTTGAGAAACAAAAGACTGAAGGAAAAAAAAAACAAGTGAGAAATGCACTGAATCTGCTGAAGCTGTTCCAGTTGTTTTTCTTTTTAGTACAGTTTCTAATACCTGACCCGGAGTTTTACCACCTCCAGGTGTTGCTTTCTGCGCTAGGATCCTCCTGTTTAGTTCACCTACTCCGTTTAGCTCCTGTGATCCGTTTTTGTTTTTGAGCATGTCCCGGGTGTGGAAGAGGAGGGTTGCAGTCATGCTTTTGCCACTAGAAACCTAAATGACAGAAGAGGACACAAATATGGTCTCGCTCTTAATTGCCTGCGGCCCTTCTAATCCTCACATTGGGCCAAGCCAGGCTTGCATTACTGCCCAAAAAGCACTGTCTCAGGTGGTTTTCTCACTTGCCAAGTGGTTGAAAAAGTGGATTTTATTTTTTAAATTGCACTGTTACTGCAAATTTTTTCTTTTTTTTTTTTTCTTTTTTTTTTACTACCAAAATGAGAGAACAGACCTGCAGTTGAGCAAGGCAGCTTTTTGAGATGAAACACATTCCCTTTTTGTCCTACTGCACTTGCCTACTGCATCCAAACTATGGTCAGATGTTAGCAGACCAGTGAAACCAGAATGCTACTTGTAAAAAAAAAAAAAAAAAAAAAACAATAAAACCTGGAGGTGAGGAGTGGCAGCTTCTGTGGTAAAGAAGCAAAGCCTTTGTTTAGAGTGGTCAGGAGAAGTAGAAGTAGGTTCAAAATGAGTAATACATTGGTTTTCTAACTCATTTAATACAAAAGGCCACTTGTGAACAGAGGTTTAGCATGGTCGGGGAAAGACAAACAGCACTTTTTTTATACATTCAATCAAAAAAGCATTCAGTGGTGAAGGTCTGGAATCCAAAACGTAGGTACTAACCAGACGGTAGAAGGTGTATCAGTAAAGCAATGTTACGTAGGACATGGGTGCATTATTCACTCTTTGATGTTAGTGACTTTTATTACGTTTACATTTTAAAGCATAGCTAACAATTGTTTTGTGCGTGCACGCTCTTCTAGAGATCCCGCTGGCAACTAAAACAGCTTCTGACAGATTTTTAAAGTAATCTTATCATAGTGGCCTTGATGCAGAAAACACCCGATCATCACGTTTCTGCGTCTGCTAAACCCACGCTCTCGTTTCTGCTTTGGTCGGCGCTCGTACGTTTTTTGACTGTTTCGTGTTTTCTTCAAAGGGACAAAAAGGGAAGAGATTTTTATTATTATTATTTTTAAGAGTAAAACATCTTGGCCAGGCCTCTTAATTGTGCTGGGAGTTTTTTCCCCCTAAAATCGATGAGTTCATTTTTGTCTTTTTATTTCTGGGCATTCATACAGGTTGTTTTCTAGCAACCTTATTAGATAGTTTCCTCCCTCACCTCTCGTGATCTCCCCCTCAGGCCTGACGGTGACAGCTGTTGATCAGCGACCCCCACCCCCTCCTCCTGAGGAACATTTAGCTAACATAGGCTCAAGTGTTCAGTAGTGGTAAACTTGTGTAATAGCAGTTTGCAGTACTTTGGGTTTTATCTTAGGGAAACTAAAGCTATGCGGTGAAGAATAAGCTCACGTGTTTGTTTCAGGTCGGTTCGATAGTCCACTTGCTCGGGCCTCAGTCGAGTCCAGTGTCAAAACTAAGCTAATCTCCTGACCTGGTGACAAAAGGCAGGAACTGAAATGTTCAGAGAAACAAAGAAAAAAACCTGGGTGATGGGGATCTGAAACATTTTAGAAACAAAGTGCAATATTACTCACTGAATTTTCTTCATTCTCCATGTATGTTATTATTTTATTGTTTTGGCTGTTAATCATGACGATGTGTAGATATTCTATGAATATACTATGTTCTGAATGATTTAACCTTTGTCTAGTTCTTCCTTTTGATTTAAATAAACTGTTTGTTCTAAATTACAGTGCACTGAGTTTTGTTCTTGTGCATCAATGAATCGTGCAAACACACAACCTTCCTTGGAAATTGCAAAGTTAAAAGATTTATTCACCAGTTGGTTTGTCTTTGACATGATTAAAAATAAAGCTAAATACAATTATGAAACAAACATTTTGAATATTTTTAGGTGAATGTTTTGGTGCATAAAACACAAAGCACCTGGGAAACCTGGTTCAACACTGCCCCTAGAGGCTGTTTAGTGAAACTGCACCAGCTGAAGTTCAAGTTTGTCATTGAAAACAACAAAATGCTTATTTTAGGTAAAATCTACATAAATTATGCATTTTGAATGCTTTTTAATTCAAATGAGCGTTTTGGTTATGTGTATCATTCAAATGTTTGAACTTTAGTAAATAATCCTAAAGGGAAGTGGGAGGAGCTTTTTGGTGACCGTTTGCTGTTATGCATAAATCTGGTGTTTTGACTTGATGCTAACGACAACACTCATGAACACACAGGAAAATGTCCCAACTGGCAAAGGGGGAGTAAAGACATTCATTTTGTCCAAAAATTGACCTAGGACGTCCATGGAACTGTCCTGTTTGGAAGACACCGCATCTATAAGACTGAGCAGTGTCTCTGCTTTGAATCTATAACAACTAGGTCAAAATGCTGTAATTCATCCGCAAAAGTGAACACCTGTAATGTCCATCCAGTTTCTTTGAGCTTTGCCATGTTTACCCCAAGTTTTCTTGTCATTCTGTGTTGATTATTAACAACTTCATGCAATTTGACTGTCACTGTGTAAGCTGCTCCTGACATTTTGAACCAGCACCTCTAAACCAACTGACTGTGTCATTCTCCAGTAAATGTTTAACCCACACAACCCTCCAACTTAAAATAGACTTTTCTCTCTTCGCGGCAACCCATGACCTAATTACGAGGTTCAGCAATCTGTAAATAGTCGATCAGTTTCACTCATAGACACGTTACGTCAATCTGGTTTTAAAATGATTGTTTTGTGAGGAAAATGGCAGTAGTTGAGCACAAACGAGCTCAGTGAATCGATCACGATGGATGTGGGCCACTGGTATCCTTTGCAGCATCTCCTGGAAACAGTTGGGACATAATAAAAACACATCGCTAGAAATATGGAACAGGAACGTGTATGACGTGTAATCATTCTCTGGAAAGTTGAACTGCTTCTAAACCTTTACCGAAACTCAGATGAAAACTGAGTTTTGATGAAAGAGATGTGTGCTGACTCAGCAGCTCTTCAGCTCAGTCCAAGCTCTTCATATTGCCTTTGTCTCCTCCTAGTTTCAATCCCCTGGCCCCTTTTGACTTGCATGAACCCTTTATGGATGTCCGAACCTCCGTGTTCAAAAAAGAAGGAGGGAGGAGAGAGCAGATTGTGGTTTTTTTGCACAATTGTGTGAGCAGTGAGAGTGATGATTAGCAAATGCTGACGCTACACAGGCCTCAGCTGTTTCCTCTCACCAGTTAATCCAGGTTTTCCGAAGCCCCAGGGATCCAGGGGTTCCTGGCAACATGCTGTGACCAGGCAGTAACTGGTGGGGATGAGAAAGACAGGGGACCGAGACCCCTGAATGCCTGCTCGCCTGTGCCACATCATCACTGTGACATAATAGAAACACACACACACACACATAGACACATCTCAGCACCGCTGCAGTTATGTGCACACACACACATTCCAGGAAAACGTGGAACAAGCTGTTCCAGAAGGGAAAATATCAGGAGGAGATTCAGCTACTATGATCGAATAAATGTGGTCAAATGTTAATAAAACTCTGAAGGACATTAGGAGAATTCTCACCAAAATAATCTGGTATTTTAACAGACTGATCAATGAAAATGAGTCACTTCAGTTGTGCTCAATAGAAGTTCTGACCAACATACCAAACATGTAATGTTCTAATGGGCTAGTCTGTTTACTCTGCAGAGAAAAAAAAAAACGTTCATCTTGGTGTCACGTCGGTACCGGGCAGTGGACGGGATTGATTAACCCCACATAAACTCTGAAATCTGATGATTTAGAAAGAAATCAGACACAGATGAAGATATTTGAAACACCAGCGGTGGAATTCTGTGTTGATTTGAGGTAAAACTCAACCTTTTTTGGAAATCTCCAGGCTGCGTTTTAAACCTGCACATCCAAAAGTCCACTTGGAGTACTGGACCACAAATATAATTTGCAGAATAATAAAAAATGAACCCACACATGCCGAGCCCTTCCTCAGATTAGAGGGCTTATATAAACTAATAATGACCTAAACATGAATATTTCTGCATGAATATGTTAAAACTGTTTCCAAGCGGTTTAAATGATGTCTTTCATACAGGCAGATATAATCATGATGCTAGCTGTCTAACCCGGAACTGCGCTGCTCTGGGTGGCTGCATGTTGGAGCAGCTCTGTTAACTACATGTAAGTTTTGCCTTTTCTTGGGCATTTTTTCTTCTAGTTTCTCAAGAAAAACTGTATTTTTTTGGACACTTTACTTTTCTGTTTCTGGTGCTGTGAAGCTTGGAGGATTTTTACTGCTATTTTTTTTAGCTTTTTCACTTTTTGAGCATTTGTTATGATGTGTAACCATAGCAACAAGCTGTTTACAATCGGATCAGCTGATTAACATTGGAAAGGCTGAAATAATAATACCTCAACTGAAGCCATAAATCCTAAATGAGCAAGCTTTGCCCTGCGATGGACTGGCTCTCTGTCCAGGGTGTACCCCGCCTGATTGCTCATTGACCGCTGGAGATAGGCACCATGCCCCCACCCCCACCCCCGGTTCAGACAATGGATGGATGGATGGATGGATGTTTGTCAAGCTACTTAATACTTTTGTTTATGACACTCCCGCGTAATTTTCTACATATTTTATTGTGTTGTTAAAGTTTATGTGCATCTTTGCATTTTTCAACAGGTGTTCTGTCCCATAGTTTTGATGCTGACATGAGCATTTATGTTATTGATCTCATTGCCTCTTCAAGCACAGGTATGTTAAGCTGAATAATAATCAGCTTTCGGGGTATTGTGAAGATGTGACGCAAAATGATTTCTGTCCAGGAACTTCTCAAATGCAGTGAAATTATGCCGAGATAAAGTTGTGGAGCTCTTAAGGTGTCAAAGTTTTGTTAATCGTTACCAAATGTCTCCATTAAGTCGCTGTAGTCGTGAACTAAAACAATAAATAATATTAATATCTTAAATAGTTTTACAAGTTCCATCAATCAATCAAAATAATGAAAGTGATGACCAAAAAAACACTTCTAAACTCCGGCTACCTGTCAATCACAGGGACACGCCACTAATATGTCATAATTTCAAACTACATCAACAAGGATGAGTTGCTAAAAAAATAAAAATACACCCCCTCAGAGTTGCCATAATGGTAAACTTGACCTATTAAATCTAAAATGCTTTTTTGAACCAGGATATAAACCTGTTTATTCATGCTGTGAAGTTGGCGTTTTTAACATGGGAGTCAATGGGACCTTGCTCCTTGATGGATCCAGCCCCTAGAGGATCAGGAGGGAACTACAATTTTTAGTCACTTCTGCATTGGCTTCACTTTTAGAAGGCAGGATTTGTCCATTGTTCTGTTACAATTCGCTCTGCAGTGTTGATGTTTTATTTCCACAAATAGCACAAGCCAGAAGGAGTTCTGCTGTGTTTTATTAATGGGGTTATACTTCTTCCTACTCCATTTCAAGTTTGCAAAATTACAGCATCAAGATGTTGAATTATGTCTTATGTTAATATGTCTTAATGTTCTTTGTTGTTTTTTATTATTATTATTTGATTTTATTTTGTTGTTAGACATTATTGTGTTGTTTTATTTTCTTCTTCTTTTTAAAAACCTGAAATAAATGATTGATTGATTGATTGATTGAGTGTTGTGGAGTTGCTAATGCTAACGGTTAGCTTCTACTAGCCGAAACACGGTCTTTAAAAATGATTTTCTTCTTGGTTGGTAGCTTGTTTCTGTTGGTTTGAACCTTGTTACATGACCCCAAAGCATCATATTGGACAGCTGTTTGCTTTTGCTTTAGCAGATAGAAAACATGTTAGACTTGGTATCCAACCACACACACACACACACACACACACACACACACACACACACACACACACACACACACACACACACACACACACACACACACACACACACACACACACACACATGCGGTCGCCTGGAATCAAAACACAAGTCAAATGAAGGTGTGAATTAAATGAACATCAACAGCAGCTGCTGCACACTAACAGTATATGGGTGTCACTTGTCAGCTTTTAGACTACATGACTTTTGCATTTGTCCTTCTATAAAAGACAGATACCAGATTCCTCTTCTCATCCCTGTCTCATGTCTCCAGAGTCCTCATATCGCTGATAGAACACATTATCAGAAGCTGTTTTCCTTTTCCTAGTTCACTGATACAGAAGAAGCTGGTCCTTCTCATCCAACAGACGTGACGCAGGTATTACATATAATTCATGTTGATGGTGATAATTGAAAATCGTCCTAAGTGGAGCTGCGAGGGTTGTTGTTTAGTCCGGACAGAAACACGATAGCTGGAGTGACAGCGCGCTATGTTCTCATGCCAAAACTCCCGTCCCAGTCACCTCACAGTCCTAGCATGGTGAGCATTCCACTTCCAGGCCATCCTCAGCATGCACTCACACATGCATGCACACACACACACACACTGCAATGTTTGCAACTGTAATGCAGCACCACCAGTTTTCAAACTTTGCTGTGACCACAGCTTGGAGAAGTTTGCACCTCATTTTTACTCCCACCAGAGAAGTGTTTGTCCAAAATAGAAGTTGTTAAAAGTGAATGTCTAGTAGGTCAACATATATGTGTCATTTAGGCTGGTCGAAGGGAATAAGGTCGTCTGCGCGTGTCCTTGTGAGCTCCAGACTGCTGCAAAAACAAGTAGATTAGCACAAAGAGTAGACTTCCTTAAATTCTGCTATCCAGGCTACCGGAG